GAGAGAAATTAGGGAAACAGTTGCACATCGTAATCGAAGATACCAAATATACCAAAGCTCATTAACCCTGACTGTGGCCATAATTTAATTATAAAGGCAAATCTCAGTGATATACTTATAAAGAAAGAAAAAAGAGAGTAAAAAATTAATGGAGGAAGCAAATGTAAAAACAAAGAGAGATCAGAGAGATACTTTGCGTAGTCCACAAGCATTAAGTTTTGTAGATCGATGGACATTGACACATTTGACAGCTCCCTCCCTCCCTCTCTCTCTATCTCAATTAGGTCGTCACCATTTAGGGTTTAGGGTTTCCTCAGACGTTTCCTTTCTTTACCCTCTTTTATCTTTTATCTTTTATATTTTTCTGTCTTTCATATTAAATTATTGAGAGTTCGAAAAATTTTTTGTGGGTTTTCACATTTTCATGTTTATTGTTCCTTTTTTCGTTTTTCTAAAAAGTGATCATCTTTGCTAGTTTCTGGTCTCATCGACCGGCGCTTCTTTTTTTACCATAGCTCCAACTTATCTTAAGCCAATATCCAAAAAATAACACTAATTATTTTATTATTATATCAGTCATAGTAGATGGACAAAGACTAATCATCGGCTATCCTCCGTTAATTAGACGACAAAGTATATATATATATATACAGTATATATATATATATATATACTGTATATGCAATACTCATCAATAGTCATAATTTGTGTCGTATCATAACTATGTATTTATTTAAAAAAATCCTAATTAAAATACATTTTTATGTTTGCTTGTAATAGTTTCTTAAAATGTTTTTTTAGTTAATTCAACGAGTTCCTCTGTTATTATATGTTCTTCATCTGATGTCTCCTGTTATAGACAGTGACTTAAAAATCACTCTCACTCTAACACATAAAAAAGTTATGTGCATGTTTGACTTCATTTTTTATAAACATTTACCGACTTCGTTGGATCGTATGAGAATGAGATCCCTTGTAATTAGGCTTACTGTTGAGCTAAAAGCTTGCAAGGACCTATTATTTCGGCGTCACATTTGTGATCCGATCCTTCCTACGCAATTTATTGGTACTTGTTGTTTTAGGAGAATTGTGTTGCAAAAAGTTATAACTTATTTTTTTAAAGGACTACTGCAGAGACGCAGGTGCATTAATAAATTTTAGCTTTAAGTATTTAGTAATTTATCTAATCACTCAATAGTCGGTTAGAGACATGTTGGTCTACTAGTTAGTAACCAGACCTGTAGAAAATATTATTTACTATGTTTGTTAAATTATGATGTATATAATAAATAATATGATCAGGTATTGTTAGTCTAATCTATGTGAATAATATATGGTCATAGAAAAAAAGATTTAGCAATTTTAATTTTTACAAAATGGTTTGGACTTCCCACATGTACGGCATTATATGCTTGTGGTGGTCTGGAATATTAAGGGATTCTCTCCTGCAGGTTCAATTTCTCTAATGATGACATAATCCAAAACCAGGTATATAGTTGATTTGGGCCCCTATAAGCTAATTAATTTTAATTGAATATATACATAAGATTCCTCTGAGATATGGACTCCGTTCAGCTACTCAAAAGAATATAAATATAGCTATTACAATTGCATAACTCCAGCTTATTTCTTAGTATGCTACAAATCTTTTTATACTGTCAGAGAAATATGGGTGAGAGAAACGAGGATTGGTAAAGCACAAAACCCTAGTGATGTTGCCCACAAAATGAAAACTTTATAATATAGTAGTAGAGATTTATAAAAATGTAAGTGCGTGCGTTTAAATAAATTAGGAAGTACCAAGTTGAAGAATAGAAAGAGAGAAGAAAAAAAGAAGAGAAAGAGATATAGACACGAAGAAAGAGGAGGAGATGGGACATTGACGTGGCTGCATATGCCATATAGTACGGATACATGAGAAAGTGGAGCCAAAGGAGCCCTATCCTCCTCCTCGTACGGGACCCTTTTTATTTCTTTTTCATTTCTTTTTATTGTCACATCCATCTCTTCATGTCATTTTGTGTTCACCAATGTCTTCCTAGCTTTTGTTTTCTCTATTACTACTTCCACTATTACCCTATGGTCGAGTTACAACCGGTAGTACACTCTCCATGTTTTCTTCTTGTATTAACGTATAATAATGTTAGAAAAACTAGGAGTTCATCATTAGTTCATGTATATATTATTCAAAATTGGTGTCTAGTCTTTTTCTTTTTAGCAATAAGATCAAATATATCTATCGCACTTTAAAAAACAAACAGTCTTGTCTTTTTCTTTTATTTTTCTAGCAGCAAGTCTTATATAGTTGTCATTACGTGTTAATTAATCTCACATATCCATAGTAGCATAGTAGTTAATTTATTAATCTTAAGATGTAAAGTGATGGGAGCCTAGATATATATATATAAATATCATATGCGATGACAACAAAAAGAGAAAAAGCTTAGGATAACATACATAACCAACCCTAAGTAATCAATTTCTTTTGTGAATTGGCTTTGCCCATTATTATTATTTTTAAAGTAGAGTTTTGTTATATATTGTTGCTGAAAAATAATTTAGAGATGATCAGCCCTTTAAAAGAAAAAAGAAAAATATAGAGACAAATATGTTTACAGTTTCAGTTTGTATAGAAGTACAGACGTTTAACTTATGGATTTGATCTAAACTCGTCACTACAAACACGAAGTGAATCACGAGCCTCATGACACAATAAATGTTTTCAAACCAATCCGAAAGAGAAAAATAAATAAATCCATTGGTTGTCGAAATTATAAAACTTGTAAGAGGTTGTGGACTTGTGGTACTTCGTAATTCGTAGGTGTGTGTATTATAGATAGCCCTTAAATTTCGCTGACAATTTTATTTACGCAAGGAAAAAAAAAAGAAAAGAGAAAGTGAGAGTAATAATTAGACTTTAATTATTACTCTGAAACTATAAATAAAAATAGAGAGTCTATTCTTCATTAGCTTACTTCATTTGGAAAACCCTTTTGGGCACTCTCAGCCTCTTCCTCTGTCTCCTCGTATACCTATTTCTCCCCTCCTCTCCAACTCCTTCTCTGCAAAACCTATTAATTACATCATTATATGACATATTATTACGTACGTCCATCATAGCTCTTCATTTTTTCTTTTACTTCTCTTGCACAACTACAATACCACCATCTTCCTTTAACAGCAGAAGTTAAACTACTAAGATTGTGTGCTTGTTTTCAAAAGTATAAACATGACATGCTTACTTAATTAGATCATCGCTATCCATATTTTTCATACATCGATGCTTTTTTGATTTTAGATAATAGATGTAATTAGTCCATATATTCATCTCCAACCTTTGCTAGAGTTCTTTTTTCATTTTTTCTTCTTCTTGAATGTGCTGTTATTTTGACGAAATGATAATCTTAAAATTCTTATGTAAATTTTTTGAGGACCTATTACCTAGCTATGGGTTCATTAAAGTGGATCCTCGTTATTGTTTTGTAAAAAAAAAAACTAGAAATCATAGTTCATAGTTGCCTTAGATATTGTTAATTAATCAATTAGGAGATAAATACATCTACAATCTTAAAGTGTTTTCTCTCTCTTTGATTTAGAAAGTTCTAAACATTCATGATGTTTTAACCAACTCAGTGATGTTTTAATAATTTTTCTCAATTTGATTTTATCAATCTCGTTAAGAAGATTTTATATTTGCAAGATCTTCCTATATTGATCATTGAGTGTTACTGATTTAGTGCTGAGTGTTAATTATACGTTTAACGATTTTAGTTTAGTAATCCACTATATGATGGTGATTAACACAATTATAGACACGTCTCTGATCTTTTCACCAATTCACTATTTGATGAACAACATGATCATAAAATTGTGTTTATACTTCCACTGGTACATGTACCATTAACATCTGTATATACGTCGACCAAAAAAAAAACATTTTCATGTACATGACCAAGTAAAATAAGTATACGTACATGTTATTTTAGGAAAATATATATTGACGTAGAGTATTGAGATTTTTATGATTGCGCTAATGTAGTCTACAAGACGCGACTATTCCTCCCATTGGTTCTTCTTCTTACCAATTTGATTAAAACATTGAACTGTATCAGCAAAATACAAGAACAAGAGTTCAGAAATTAAAAATAATAATAATAATAATAATAATAATAATAATCTTAGACCATCCTTAATGATAGTATTTTAGGGTGTTTTTAACTTAAATACATATTTAAACTAAGTAAATAATGCGTTTTATTACTAAGAAAATCTCTTAATTAAGAGACAAAAGTAACATATTTTAAGTGTTCTTAGTTTTTCTTTGACCAAAAAAAAAGTGTTCTTAGTTTTCTTAATACAAAATTAATGCTAAAAGTCAATAATAAGAAACTACCGATAATATTGCTCTATCTCTACTGCGTTGTAGATGGAAAACCCATCAGTGCTTTAAATTTTGTAGAAGAATCTCGTCAGACTCTCAAAGTTGCATCTCATAATTAATTAATTAACTTCTTATACAAAAAAATATTAGAATCATCGATGTGACAAGTTTGATGGGTAACAAATTAAGTCGGTCAAAAATTTAGTGTTTCATGGACCGAAATGATAAGCCCAAATAATAAAGGCCAACTAGGAAACTGGAACACTACTAGCCTTAGGAGGGAAGGGATCTCAGTTTCTATATCTTGTGAGCAAACTTGTTCGTTTCCTTGTATTCCAAGCTCTACAGTTTTGGATCTCGAATTCCTTCTTTCTCCGCTTCTTGAGTAGCTCAGACCTTGAATTATCGCGCATTTAACCAGGAGAAGCTGAATAAAATACAGTTCACTGAATCAAGATGCAGCTCAGGATGAAATTTTCTCCAATCCCTCGAATTAGGAAACTATGGCTTCCATATGCTGTGCTTCTTATTTGTATGAGCACTATTTGTTCGTTTATTCGTTAATCAAATTCAAAACACCGGACATGAAATGGTTTTTTTTTTACGTTTGGAATTTAAGTGTAGGGAAGTCCAAACCAATATGAAATCCAATAATGGTCTCACATATATTTTTTGTAATTCATGAAACCCAAAAATGTTGTACAAAATTCGAGGTAGTTTCAAGGGAATCTGCGTTGAAGCAATTTAACTACAGCAAAAACAAAGACAAGAATCCATCAATTGTCTGAGAAAACGAGCAAGTGTTGCAAAATCACGTGATCCATTAGTTTTCCCACACTTACCTCACTTCTTCTTTTTCGTTCCACGGGCTTTATCTATGATGCTTTGATAGTATTGTGTGTAAGGAGCTTTAGCATTTTGCTTTTCAAGCTGCATAAACATGTCTGCAGATTGTTGATCGTTTGGAGAGAAAGTAGCATCATCTCTCTTCCTTTGCACAAACTCAATGTTCGACTCTACCTGATAAAGATAAAAGCCATTCTCAAATCAAAACAACCATCATTCCAAGCCAAGATTCTTGATATTCCACAGATAGTAAATGGGTTGGTTTGGTTGCTTTAATCTTAAAGAATTACCTGCTCGATAAAGCGTTTCACCACTCGCTTCAACCCTTCCATATTGCTTCTCTCGTAAAAATACTTCAGCCTCATGATGGGAATAGTAGCAAGTTCTGGAAACGATATGTGGAAGCTCCATTGAGCAAAGTGAACAGCAAGCACTTCAATCACAGAAAAGATACACTGTTCTTGGAAATTTTGGGACTTTAACCAATTCTTGGGTAGCTGCAAAACAGAGAATCTATTAGCTTTCCCAGGGTTTATATATATTGAAATCTACTTTGTAAAGAACTTTCTACTCCAGAGCCTTTATGGTGCTACATTTCTAACCTTTACTGTTGAGACAGCTTGAAGCTCCTGTTCTTGCTTTTCACCATCATTTGTGGTTTTATATTCCAACATATCCAATACCAATGATGCAATGGGAATGAATATACCGCTTGTCCGAGAGAGTTGATTGAGCCATTGGATACATTTAACCCTTAGGAGCAGGTACCGTGGTCCAATAATTAGTTGAGCAACTCCATTTATAACCTGAACTATAGTATAAACCAGGGGCTTGAGATCACAATCCTGAACGTTGGCGGCAATAAAATTTACCCAGAGATCAACACAGTTTGTGTACTGCCCACTGTGTATCTTCTCGACAGCTTCCTGCTTACAATAATTGAAGGAGGCTAAGAAGACAAATAAGAAAACTTTAAGTAGAAGAAAAAAGCATGTAAATACTAAGGAAGCACCTTATTCTTTGTAGTGAGAGCCATCTTCAATAACTTGGCAAGTTGTGTGATAGAGACAGAGGCCTTGGTATAAGACTTCTGCACATCTTGAGAGCACAGCTCAACAAGAGAATCTCTTAGAAACAGCAGACGTTGTTCTGAATTTGCCTTTGGTATATCGCAGTCATGTAGAAAGGCTTTGTACATGTTGATTAAGCAGGTATCAAAGCATTCCGAGTTGAAAACCATACTGATGTCTTTCAAGGTCAGAAAAGCCTGCTGCGATAGAGTATCTTCACCGGTTACCCACAGGTGAATAGATATCTGCACCAATTTACACAGTTAAACATGACTTTCAAGAAAACAAATCTACATCATATATAACAATGAGAAAAATGCAATTAAGAAAGTATCTAAATAATTTACTAAAGCATACTATTACGATGTAAAAAAAAACAAGAATTGTCAATGCATCTCACTAAATGCTAGTAGTCTAACGCCGAAAAGGTTAGACAAACTTACCAGCTAATTAGTCTAGTCCAGTATATGGAAATTATCCTATATGATAAACACAGAGATATGTATATATAGATACAGCTTACCTTGATCAATTTTTTCAGAAGATCTGGAAATGCAGCAAAAAACACGATTGAAACTCTAAGTTGGGTAACACCAAAAATTATCATCTCCGAATCTGCTGCGTGCTTAACAAGATACATGGTACTTCTTAAGAAAGATTTGACCAGTGGTTTTAAACTATCCCATTTTGGGTTGTTCTTCAACTTCAAAATCTTCTCCTTGTTACTGGAGTCTGATAATCCCAGAATATTCCTGAAAGTGTGATCAGCTTTTTGGAGCACAAAAATCATGACCTTGGCATATGTTTCATTGTCTTCTATGTCATAGCATATATCAGGACTAGCAATTCCGGATGGTTCGTGCCCATAATGACATGCAGCTCGATACCAATTTAACAACCTAACTAATGCTTGAACAGACTGCTCCTCATCAACTAGGTCACAGCAAGTGCCTAAAACAGATCCTGAGAGTACTTTGCGCTTCGATTTATCTGAGTCAGCTTCGTCTACCAACTGCATGGGACGATAAGAAAGCCTCACAATTACTTTGCCGTATAACAATGGTAAACATGCTAACAAACGTACCATTTATCATAAGTTTAAGAATGCAAGTATCTGTTACCTTTTCATTCAATTTCGCTAGCTTTCTCCTCTGTTTTTTAAGTTCTGACAGACTCGCTTTGCTCTGCATCGACATCTTACTATCACTGATTTCACCTGTAAATTTTATCTATTGAGTCAAACAGTAAAGGAAAGAATTGAAGGAACTATCATAAAATCAAATAAATGAGGTAAAGCAATTACCTTCTGCTCCCTTTACAGCGGCAGGGTCCTGAACATAAGGTAATACTGTGAATACTTGCTATCTGAATCACAGAGAAAAATATCACTAAAAACTAAGAGTAATACCTCATCCAGATATCCATCACTATCAGAATCACCATCGTGGTGAACTTCATCATCATCCTTTCCGAATACATCATCTATGGATATATCCTGAGGATCTTCTTCAGGGAATCTGAAAACATATACGCAAAACCAAAATCACCCAGTGCATGCATTACTAATATCTTCACCCATCAATCATTAAAGAAAACTGATGAACGAAAAGGTATGATTGTAACATATGCAAGAGACTCGAACAGATAACTGAACAGCTGTTTGAGTAGCAGAAGTGTACAAAAACCAGACCTCTTCTTAGGTTTCTGCTCAACCTTCTTCTCCTCCTTTTCATCTCCCACATCGCGACGCCCATTCTCTAAACCACAGAAAGTTAATAACATTGGTTATAAAACAATCAGAGATAATTAGATACAAAGTACAATAAAAATCAAAGCTTTCAAGACTATAACCACGACATTAAGAAGACTTCAGCAGACTCCTATGTAGAATTGACTACAGAAAAGAAGTGGAATCGAAGAATAAGAACTCACTCTTTGCAAATTTCTTTTTGAAGAAAGGCTTCAGCTTCCTGTTTCGTTTATCAACAGACTGGAGATTTTTCTTGGCAAATTTCCTAGCTTTCTTCCCCAACTTACCCATTTGACTGCTCCGCTACTGCGACTGCAAAAGGGTATCTACGTATCAGCTTGATGCACCAACTAACTAATTGATCACTGGGTCTATGAATTCGAATTCTCAAATCCAAAAATTTGACGACTATATCCCAATTAAACAACTAGAGGGTTTAACCAACTACGAGCTACTCTGAAATCCAAATTAAGCTAATAGAAGTAAAAGAAGAAAAACTAACCTTTTAGAACCGAAAGCAAGAGGAATTTGAGAAGAAGGAACTGAGACTGAGAACGCGGCGGTGAACGATGAAGAAGAAACAAAGTCAAGCAGGGTTTAGCCGTTTAGGGCTTTTTTGGTTTTGTTTTCTTAACAAAGGGTTTTAGCCAAGTGGGTGGGTTGTCTTCACGGTTTCAATACCGATCCGACTATCCGGGTCAACCCGTGTCTTGTATTAAACAAATTTGGTTGCTACTGCTAATCATTCTGGATGGATTTACACTATTTAATTACTTGTAAAATAGAATTAATATATAAATGCTTTTATATATAGTGTTACATTCGTAAGTAAAATTAACCAAAAAATATATATATGAAGCAAAAAATATACATTATATATATATTAAATATATAGCACACACATTATTTTTACGTATTTTTTTATTTTTAATTAATATATAAAATAATTGTTGTCAAATTCAAGCTGCAACTGCAAACCATATAATGAAATTCGTGTGACTATGGCCAGATTTTAAATTTTAGTTATGCCAGAAGATAAGTAGGCCACAAAATATATCACACTAGTCTCTGGAGTACCTACCACATAGGCACAAACTATATCTTGAACTCGATCTTGTCTTTATTGACACCTTCGACTCAATCTTTGATCAAACTTATATATCTGTCTTTTTTAGAATATACGACAAACAAAATTTTACCCAGGTTTACATTTTCTATATATCATGCATCTCATCTGTTGTATACCAGATCAAGCGTATATATATTTTGGTTATGTTTATTTTATATATATAAACCAAAAAATTCATTTAAACACAAACATATATGGATTCATCATGTTTAGGCTAAAACAGATATTCCTTTATATGATTTCATGTATTGCTTGGTTTGGAGTTCACAATTAGCAATCTATACTTACTTGTATTGGAAGCCTAAGTAATTAATTACCGAGCAAGTACATGCTTGTGGTAATTGACATTATTTCATGATTTCAACATATTTTATCATCGTTAGTTACGTTAAGCACACGCATCATGCATTTCCTCTCAAAACAATATATGAAAGATTCTTACGTACGTTTCTCAAAAGTCGAAACAACATGTATATGTTTAATGTAAATCATAGGTTCCTTTATAAATCATTTTAGGATCAGAATAACAAACTTTATTTAACTTGGATTAACAACCAAATTCTACTACCATGTCACAGTATAACTCAAAATGATAAGTTGATAAAAAAAAATTAAAAAAATGATCAGTTGATATCAAGTGAATTGACTAATGTCTACCATATAATTTATTTTATGCTCATGACTCTTACATTATATAAATGAGATTCGAAAAGGGGATTTGAATCGGCAATATATATCAATCGTATTCGCTCCGTTTGAATGAATTGAAATGAATCGACATTTTCAAGATGTAATATGGCGGCTTCATATAACGAACTTATCAGGTTTGGATCCTTATTATAAGTTGTATCTCATTTGCGAGACGCTCAAATACGGGTATCGTACGCCGTACATGCCCTGGTCCAATTCGGATCACAGATTCACAGTGTGTCAGAAAATGTTTTCGTAGTAGAATATGTTGTTTGTTCAAGTACTTCAACATACACTTTTGACATTAATGTGCAATGTAACTCCCAGTTCCATATAGACTACTGTGACAGCATTTAATAAACACGGACTTGCACTGCATTATAATGTTTTAGCTCATATCATACTAAGTTAGTTGGAGATGAAAAATTGAGAATTGGCATCAAATATTATTCACAACAAAAGAGAAGTGAAGAAATTGTTTTGTATAAAGAAGGAAATAAATGAAAAGACGAGAAATCGTCGGGAGAGATCATAGAGAGGTAGATAATAAATTCACATGCAAGTGGATACGTATGCGTTCATGTGCATTTGAAACAAAAAAAAATCATACACGTCACTAATTACACGTACACACTATTTTATAGAAATTTTGATATCAAGTTTGAACTAACACAAATACTATGACTTATGAGTTTCACATTATCATATCTACCCGAAAAAAGAAACAAAATCTAACCACGAGAAGTTATAAAACTTTGATTAATTAACATAACACGTATGTATATGTATATGTTATTTTGTTTTTTTGGTTTGCTGTGTGGATGAAGTGGCAGATATAGAAGATCTGGTTGGCGCATAGATATGCCTTGTCATCACCAAATGTCCTTAATGCTATTCCACCGTCACCGCCCCTAACTGTTTTCCTCTTTTTTAATTTCCATCTCATGCAGCTTCACTTCTATTTTCTCACATTTTCTTCTGTTTTAAATTAAAATTATGATGAAAACTATCCCAATGAATTGAGTATAAACAGTTTCATAATCATTTTATATTTGGTCTATATTTTCCAAATTTAGATTATATGATTTCTAGTATTTTTTACATACTTCATAGTTTAGTTCGCATTTCTAATGATGAAGGACATTGTAATGAAATGATTTAGATGTATCACTAAAGTAAAATTTGTATTAAAAATATAAATAACTCGATTTTTATATAAGTTATAACATCATGCATGACACAGAGTTGGCTATGTAGACGTACTGCGTACGGCGTATAGTACCTAAAGTATCAATGTATTAATTTGTAAAGTGTCGAAAATACAAACTCTTTTGTAATTTACAACTTTGCAAAGTTTATACATATGCATATGTTTTTCGTAGAACTATGAAATTAATTTATGAACACCTAAAAAAAATAGGAAGAGTCAACAACATGTAATATGATGTAATGAACTCAAATGTTTTCTCTACATATTACGGTTGTTTCACTATCTCATTAGTCCATTATTCTTGTAACATGTTAATTCATCATTGTTGCTTCAAAAAACGAACTAAGTATTTGTTGGTTTAATTTGTATTGTATATGAATGGTTTTTTATTGATAGATCACATTAATTTGCAATATTTATCAGACTTGGTTGGAAACTTGGCATTTATCTACACATATCATATTGAACTTTGTCTCACTCTCACGTTACATTATTAACAGATTCCTGAACAAATCGGATAAAAGACTCTGCAGTGATCTTTTCTTATTGCAATACTAAAGAGATTACAATTACAGAACGGTTACAAACCTATATTTTCACCATCTATTTTGTATTTTCTATAATTTTTTGTCTAGAAAACACTAATTTCAGCCAACTCTATTTCTTTTTCGCTTATCAGCCAACTCTATCTCTCTCTAACTTTAGAGTTTCTCTCCACCAATATAAATAGCGGTCTTCACAAGTGTAATTTACACCATCCCCAAGTTCCTCCCTTAGCCTTCTTTCTAGTTTAACAATCTTCTTACTCTCTCTCCATTTCAATCCACAATGGCAATCACTTCATTGATTCTCTTAACCATAATCCCTCTCTTTCTCCTCTTAAGCCTCACCCACGCCGGAATCCCTGGCGTTTACTCTGGCAGCTCTTGGCTAACCGCTCACGCCACTTTCTACGGCGGCAATGACGCTTCCGGAACCATGGGTTAGTCTCCACTCTCCTTAACACATACATTTCAAAAACCATCCTTGATCAAAATCATTCATTATACTAGCTCTTTGAAAAACAGAGTACTCTGTTTTCTCTTTTTAACTCAGTTTTGTGTTATATATAGGTGGCGCTTGCGGATACGGGGATTTATACAGCCAAGGGTACGGAACAAACACGGCAGCGCTAAGCACAGCGTTGTTCAACAGTGGCCAAAGCTGCGGGGCATGCTTTGAAGTTAAATGTGTCAATGATCCCAAATGGTGTCACCCGGGTAGTCCTTCCGTCTTCGTAACCGCAACCAACTTTTGCCCTCCAAACTTAGCCCAACCTAGCGACAATGGCGGCTGGTGCAACCCGCCACGTGCTCACTTCGACCTTGCAATGCCCGTTTTTCTCAAGATCGCTCAGTATCGCGCCGGCATTGTCCCCATCTCTTACCGCAGGTATACTCACAAATCCTACTATATAGGTTAACTTAGTTTTATACCATCGTTGTAAAGTACAATTCGAGTAATGGTTCGTGTGTTTTTATACAATGAACAAAAAAGCTAAGCTTGAGTTTTGTTGTATAGGGTGGCATGTAAGAAGAGTGGAGGGATAAGGTTCACGATCAACGGCCACCGTTACTTCAACTTGGTACTGATCACGAACGTGGCGGGAGCAGGAGACATCGTGAAGGCGAGCGTGAAAAGTTCAAAGAGTGGTTGGATGGGTTTGACTAGGAACTGGGGACAGAACTGGCAGTCAAATGCCGTTCTTGTTGGTCAGTCACTTTCTTTCCGTGTCACATCCAGTGACCGCAGAACCTCTACTTCATGGAACATCGTTCCTTCGAACTGGCAGTTTGGACAAACCTTTGTCGGAAAGAATTTCAGAGTCTAAAGTGAATCGATGAAATCAATACATACGAAGTGGTAGAAACAAATTAAGAAACCTCACTTTCAGATTTCGAACATCTTTGTATTTTCTGTTAATGTTTTTTTTTTAATATACTGTGATTTGGAATGTAATTGGGAGTTATAAGGTGGTGTGGTGTGGTAATAGGGGAGTGTGATTAAACGAGAAGCTGAAGTGGCTGTTGCAAAAATTGTAAACAGCCCGCAGCTCTTAATTTACATGGTTTGCTTGTAATGTGTGAATTTTCATCATATAATTTACCATTTACTTACACTAAGCTTCTTCTGTTTAGTATTATTATTTTTTTTTTTTTTCAAGTATAAAAAATCTGGCTAAAATATTGTAATCTGTAAAAACCAGTAAACTACATATCTTTGACAAGTAAGTTAATATGTTGGCTCTACAATGTTATAACTTATAAGTATTAACATACACATTAGATATTCAAAAATAATTGTTGACATATAAAATAAGTTCTAACATTCACCGAAAACTCTATCCATTGGAATCGAGTTTACTAAAATACCGAAATATTATCTAATTCGAATACATTTTTCACCAATTAATTAACTATCGTTTTTATATATTAATCGTAGTTATATACATAACAATTAAAGTATTACTTAAAAGTGAGAATATTGAAAAGTGATATAATTTATTTTGAAAAACACGAAATGAAAATTGGATTATATCCGCACCAAAAATATATTTTAGGATGTAGAGTATTTTTTTGTTTCCCACCAATTTATTTTACTTGATTTTAAAAATTTGTCGACCCACCGTTCCAAATCCAATAAATAAAATTCGACCCGGTGGAGCGAGGGATAAAGCTTCAACGCTGGTATAGAGTTCTTCCTTAATCAAAGTTCTCTCCAACGCGAGCCTTTTCGATTTTACTCCCATTCCTCTCTTGTGTAAGTTTTTCGTTTTTGTTTTTTTCCCTTTCTTCTACAAGGTTTGTTTCGATTTCGATAGACCTAATTCGTTTCCCCTTTATACCGTAGAAACTTTTAATTTTTCTTATCTAGCTTCGTAGTCCGAATCGAATTGTTCCGTGGAATCGATATCTGTGATGGTAGGAACCCTTGTCTCCCTCAGAACCTGGATTTACTTTTTAAGTGTTGCTTGATTTTGTAGATTCAGCGGCCATTTTGTGTTCGCCATAGAAGAGGTTTTTAGGCATTTGGATTTCCACTTGTACTATTTCTAAAACTCTGTGGATGCTGACTGACTTGTTTTGTAGAGTGTGACAATGACATTCTATTAAGAGAGTTTGGTTTCTAAGTGTGTCTTCTGGTCTGCTTTTGTAACTCCCGCAGACCGCCGTGAACCCAATCCCAAGGGTATTGTAGTGTGGAACCAGCCTTTGAGAATGGCAAAGTACTATGACATTGACGACATACTTGTAGAAGAAGAGGTCACCTTTCTTATCCAATAGATTTAGTTTTTCTTCGGTCTCTCTTATCAAATTAGAAAGCTGATCTCTTTAGTTTACCACCTTGTTGCAGTTTGTACCGGTTTTATTCCATAAAACAGCAAATGGAGTCACTATTGATCCAAGTGCAGAAACAAACTGTGTCAGTATTCTCATTGCTGGTGCAATGTTTTTTCATATCTGCCTTTCTGATATGATTTTTTTACTAGTACTATTTTCTTTGCGTTGTTTCAGGCTGAACAAGGCGCCAAAGTGGAAGTTCCGTTCTGGCTTGCTCATGAGTTGCATATGAGGCAAGCTGTCTCCATAAACCTTCCTGCCTGTTTTGACCAGAAGTAAGCATTTTCTATAGCTTAACTGTCATGTTAGGATTGTGTAATTTCAAGAATAGATTGTGTTGTTTTCAAATTTTTTACTAAGCTTGTCAATTTGATTCTCTTTCTTTTCCTTCTTTTCTTAGTTCTTCTTCTGGCTCCATGAATTGCTTAACATTTCAGACAGCCTCCTCATCTAAGCAATTTGTTTCTTCCGCCCTGTTTGTAATCTTCTTAATGGCTTTATATGTTTTTATGCAGGACGAGACTTGAAGTTCAGGCTGATGCAGCATACGTTGATCTTAGATCACGGTGTTCATACTTTTATGAATTCGGATGCAAGTTAGAGCCACTGTGAGTTCCTTTAAGACTCTGTCCCCTTGCCTCCCCCTCATTTTGATGTCGTCCTATCTCTTGGTTTCAAGAAAAAAATTTGTGTGCCAATTTATTTGCTGATCCTTGAGAAAGATAGGTAGGTACTTTAGCAAGATTTCACTGTGAAATCAGCATGAATACATCAAGCAAGTTGTCTAATATGTGAAGCAGATGAAAACCAGATTGTAACAGTTTGTGTACTAAAGTAGATGCTTGTTCAAATCTTTCTTGTGGTAATAATACTGATTTTATTGGTCGAAACAGGGTTACAGATAGAACACTTGGAATCTTGCTATCGACTGCATTTAAGATCAGATACAAAGAGGCCCTGACAAAAGTATACACAGCAGCTCATATAACAGCTTCAAAGTACTTGTCGTTTTTAACAAAGGAAGAAACGAACTGTAAGCCTTGTTTTCAACTCCATGGTATTGAATTTAGTGTTAACCATCTCAAACTAAAGCTTGTACCAAAAATTATTAATGCACTGTTTTTTCTTTTGTATCTATGAACTTTTGAAAGTGTACGAAGCAGCTCACTTGTCGATGACAGCCTTCAGGAAGTGGAGAGCAGGAGGACCTAGATTAGAGAGAGCTTTAATACTCGGAAGAAAACGCAAGGATTCTAATTGAAGCTCCCAAAAACTCTTTATTGACAACATATATTTGCTTATTAGTAGTTATCATGGTTGAATCAAATTGCAAATCTTTTTGTAGCCATATTGAATGATTCATACTAAACTCAGTTTGTGCTCTTCAGTTGACTCAACATTTACAGTTATGCTTTGTACCTATGCCATATGATCATGTTCCTCTCAAAATTGATCTGTTATGTATTTGTTATCTGATGTTTTTAATCAAATCTTGAAAGGGCTAACAATGATCTCATCTGTTATTTTTGGTGGATTCTGAATGCTGCTATTACATGTTATTTTTGTTGTTCCATTAAACCAAACATTTTGAACTTCAATTCATTCAACTTGTTTAAAGTTCTTCAGTCTACTCAACATTAACAGAATTACTGTTAGAAGGCCAAATCTAACTCAACAATTAAAGCCAAACGAAAGTATATAGTAAAAGGGGGCTCATATCAAGTGTAAAGATTGGAAGGACCGTCATCGAGGGTAAGGGATGAATCAAAAAGAACCCTTAAATCAAAAAAGGGAAAAAATAAACATTTCTCCATCGATTTCGATTTGGGTTTTTTTGTTCTCCATCCCATGAGAGTTTTGTTCACACTCCCCTCTCAAGCCTCTCTCTTTTTAATCATCGCCCACAAACATTTTAAATTTCATCGAATTCGTATTCCAAAAAAATCAGATCCACTTTCCTGGAAAGCACAGAAGAAAATCAAAAGAAAAATTAAATTTAATCAGAACAACGATGAAGAAGATGACGACGGTGACTTAATATCGTATAAATATAAGATGGGTTTAGGGTTTTAATGTCCGTTTTATTATAAGCCCACTCTTGATGGGCTTTTATCCGGGCTATCATCAAGCACGATTAAAGATTTGTCTGTAAGATCCGGTTTATCTCTATACGGGTTTTAGACTAATCCGAATTCTGGACAAGGATATTTCATCATCCAAACACAAAGCTTCTCTTCTGAAAAGTTCGTTTCATCGTCTCTGTCTCTCTTACTTGCTGCTGTTTTCTTCATCTTCTTCTTCTTTGAATTGCGGAATTGCGATTTGATCGGAAACTTCAAATGTTTAATCAGTTTGGTTCGACGGCGGAGACTCTGAGCAAAGCTTCAGCTGTGGTGCTCCGGATCGGCACTGACGCTCATCTTTATGACGATCCGGAGGACGTCAACATTGCTCCACTTCTTGATAGCAAGTTCGAATCCGAGAAATGTGAAGCTCTTAAGCGTCTCCTTGCTCTTATTGCACAGGGCTTTGACGTCTCCAATTTCTTCCCTCAGGTGTTTGCCTTATATGGTTTGATCCTTTTATATTCAGTATCAGTTGAATTGACCCCGTGAGATCTAAAGGTTGCAATCTTATAATAGTTTAGATTGTTGGATCATATAGAGAGAAGACTTTCGCTGCTCAGATTTTTAAACATTTCATTGGACAAATTTGAATGGCAGGTGGTGAAGAATGTTGCGTCACAGTCATCGGAAGTGAAGAAGCTAGTTTACTTGTATTTGCTACAATATGCGGAAAAGTGTGTAAAACCCAAATTAGTGATTTGTGCGTATATGTGTTTCATATATACTGTGGGTACTTTTTGTTTGTGTGAAAGTATTTTACATTTTATCTTTCATTCTTATGTAGGCGTCCAAATGAAGCATTGTTATCCATCAACTATTTTCAAAAGGACTTGGGGGATCCAAACCCATTGGTTAGGGCTTGGGCACTTCGTACTATGGCAGGGATTCGCTTACATGATATTGCACCTCTTGCACTTGCTGCTGTGAGTAAAGGTGCAAGAGATCCAGCAGTCTATGTCAGAAAATGTGCTGCAAATGCTCTTCCTAAGTTGCATGATTTGCGGCTGGAAGAACATGCTCCTGCTATTGAAGAGGTTTGTCCTGTCACTATCTTTTAGTTTTTGTGTGTCCCTGTCCCATTGGTAGTTCAATACTCTCTGTTAATCCTGCCATGTATGAGGGTAGGTTATATGTGTTTTTGATGTCCTTGTGCTTAGGAGTTTTCCTAGCGAATGGGGATTTTTCATTGGAACAATTAACCTTGTTGCAGCTAGTTGGGATGTTATTGAATGACCATTCTCCAGGAGTTGTTGGAGCAGCTGCAGCGGCATTCACCTCAATCTGTCCAAATAACTTCAAACTGATCAGAAAGAACTATAAGAAGTTGTGTCAGATTCTTCCTGACGTAGAAGAGTGGGGTCAGATATTACTCATTGGAACTCTTTTGCGGTACGTGGTTGCAAGGCATGGACTTGTACGGGAGTCTTTGATGCTGTCCCTAAATGGTATGGATACTAATGGCTTCTGTGAGAAGGATGACCTAGTCAGAGATCTTACATTGGATAAAGAAGATGGTGGAAAAAGTGATTCATTTGATGTTAATCTGGTTAATGCTGTATCTAAATGTTATATTGAAGGTCCAGATGAGTATCTATCTAGATCTAGTTGCCCCGATACAGTTACATCTGGATTTGATAGCAAAGAGACCACATCTATTGCACATAATGAAGATGTTAAGATCCTGCTTCAGTGTACATCCCCATTGTTATGGAGTAATAACAGTGCGGTTGTACTAGCAGCAGCTGGCGTTCAATGGATAATGGCGCCTCTAGAAGATGTTAAAAAAATTGTTAAACCGCTCTTGTTTTTGCTTAGGTCATCCAGCGCCTCCAAATATGTGGTAAATTCTTATTTTCCTCGCCATGTTTATCTTGTCCGTCCACCCCAAACTCCCCACACATCTGTGTAGTCTTGAAGAAGTTGCTCTCTTAGCATTGTTTTATTCATATTCGTGGCAGGTCCTCTGCAATATCCTAGTTTTCGCCAAAGCAGCCCCTTCTCTCTTTGCTCCACACTTCGAAAATTTCTTTATTTGTTCGTCAGATGCATATCAAGTTAAAGCACACAAGCTGGAGATGCTTTCTCTCATTGCTACCGCTTCATCTATCTCTTCCATTTTAAGAGAGTTTGAGGTACCACTTTATCCTTAGTTGATTATAGAAGTATATGATTTTCCAGTATTATAAAGAAGCCCAGTGTTGTTAACCATGATCTTTTTCAAGGATTATATTAAAGATCCGGACAGAAGATTTGCAGCTGATACAATTGCAGCAATTGGTTTGTGTGCAAAAAGACTGCCGACAATTCCAACTACATGTCTTGATGGATTGTTAGCACTAGTTCGACAAGGTCAGTTATGCTTCATTTCACTTGTATTCATTGGTTGACCTATTTGGCAGTACGGTTGAAGCAGCTCTCACAATGTTGCAGAAAATTTTGCTGGCAATCTCGAGTTCGTAGATGGAGAAGCTGGAGTGTTGGTGCAAGCCGTGATGTCGATTCAGACTATCATAGAGCGAGATCCCCATAGTCATGAGAAAGTATACACATCTCATTTACTGTTTGAGCATCTCTATCTTACCTATTTCAAAAGCATGCTTTGAACCCACTACATTATTTCAATGATTATTGTTTTTTTTCATTTTGGTTGTTTGAAGGTGATAATTCAGTTGTTCCGTAGTCTCGATTCAATAAAGGTAGCTGCTGCTCGTGCAACTATTATTTGGATGGTAGGGGTTTACTGCTCTTTGGGTCCTATCATTCCTAGGATGCTGACCACATTAACTAAGTACCTTGCATGGAGTTTTAAATCAGAGGCACCAGAGACAAAACTACAGATTCTTAATACTACTGCTAAGGTATAGCTAAGGGGGGTTGCTTTATAATTTTTTATTCTGGACATAACTATATCTAAGAAAACCTTTAGTATAACCATATTATATCTCTTCATCAATCCCGAAGAAAAGCTTATATCTTTCAATGAGAAAGGGCATCTACATTTTTGCTATTTGAACAATGCTATCATCTTTTCTCTCTAAAAGTTCCATTTGCTAACGAATAATAAGATTTCTTGATTAATCAATTTATCCGATGGCTTTTCTGTCCTGTGAAATCTTTTAGTGTAGAAAATCATTACTGCTTGTGCTACTGTCTCTCTACAGTTCTCAGAAGATATTGATCGCCTTTGTATGTGCAGGTTCTATTAAGTGCAGAGGTTGACGACTTTCAGATTTTGAAACGGATTATGGTTTATATGCTTGAACTGGGTGAATGTGACTTAAGCTATGATATTCGTGATCGAACTCGTTTACTCAAGAAACTGCTGTCTTACAAATTAGCTTCCCATGAGCCCGCAGAAGACAGTGTTGCATCACAAGAAAATATTGCTGTGCATGTTGTGGAACATATATTTGGAAAAAAACTGAAACCTTTTACACCTTTAGCTCTGAACAATAAGTTCTTTCTCCCTGGATCTCTGTCACATATAGTTCTTCATGCAGCCCCTGGATATGAACCTCTTCCAAAGCCCTGTAGTTTTGTGTTTGAAGAACATGACCAGCTGTTAAATTTAAATAGACAAAGGGAGGCCGGAGCTGAACTGGATGGTTCTCAGGAATCCTCTGAAACAGTGGATGAGGATGGTTCCTCTGATTATGACTCTGAATCTTCTGTTGGTTCAGAGTTCAGCAGTGATGAAATGATGGTATCTAATGATGCCAGCGATCAAGCTGCTCCTTTAATTCAAATTTCAGAGACTTCTGTTTCCGCTGACCAAGAAGAACTAAGGTCCAAAAGGGCCCTGGATTTGTGGTTAGATGATCAGCCTAGTACAGCAAATCAGACTCGATCTGCATCAAATAGTAATCAGAGTTCTTATGCGAAGATATCCATTGGTGATATAGGAAGCCGAGTGAAGCCGAAAAGCTATAGTCTCTTAGACCCTGGAAATGGTAGTGGCTTGAAGGTAGATTATACCTTTTTATCTGAAGTCTCTACTGTATCCCCATTACATGTTTGCGTAGAAGTTCTGTTTGAGAACAGCTCTGGGGAACCTATTCTGGACGTGAAATTAGAAGATGAAGAATCAATGAAGGTAGCAGACTCTTCTGAACAGACTTTGGTTGGTAACGCAAAGTGAGTTTGATTCCTTTATACACGCAATTGATTTAATTAACATGATTTTTGCCTAATCCATTTATCACTTAGCCTTACATAAATGTGCCTAACTTAATTATATATTACACAAGTTCTCATCCTTAATCCTGCAAGGAATTAGTTTTGGTAGAAATCCGTTATCTTTAATTTATCTAATAATCTCATTTACCTTTTCGTAAACCTTGCAGTGCATCTTACAACAATGTGCCAACACTAGTTCCAGTTGAGGAAATCAGTTGCCTTGAAGCACGTCAGAGTGTAAAGAGGCTTATCCAGGTTCGGTTTCATCACCACTTGCTTCCCATGAGGTTAAGCTTACATTACAATGGAAAGAAGGTTCCTGTCAAGTTACGACCTGATCTTGGATACCTTGTGAAACCATTTTCTATGAGCATCGAGGAATACTTAGCCACAGAATCACGATTACCTGGAATGTTTGAGTATAGTCGAAGGTTAGCTGCTTTCTCTACTTAAATTGTAGATTGCTGTATAAGAAGTTTCGAGTTTTACTTTCTTTAAAATTGTTCTTTCTCCATTCAGAGAGATGATTTTCATTTTGCATACTGATACCCTTAACATGGGTTCTCTTCACTTTTGGTAGGTGTACATTTGACGATCATGTCAAAGATTCAAGAATGGAGAATGGGAAAGACAAATTTCTCAGCATCTGCGAATGTATAACACTAAAGGTTCTTAGCAACTCAAATCTACACCTTGTGTCTGTGGATTTACCAGTTGCAAACACACTCGAAGATGCAACTGGTCTGCGAATAAGATTCAGCAGCAAAATCTTGAGCAGTGAGATCCCTCTTTTGATTACCATCACAGTCGAAGGGAAATGCACGGAAGTTCTGAATCTAATAGTCAAGATCAATTGCGAAGAAACAGTTTTTGGTCTAAACCTGTTGAACAGGATAGCTAACTTCATGGTTGAGCCGTTTTCTTTAACCAATTGATCAGCAACATAAAGGATTTTTTTTAATTTTTTTTTTGTCACTATGTGAATGCTACCAAACCTTGTTTTATAACAGTCTTCCTTTTTGATACATTTCTGTATAATTTTAATTATAAATACAATGAGATTTCATACACATGCTCTTACTAAAGTTGGAGATTCTGTAGAACTAACAAATCATGATACAATATTAAAATTATAATTTTCGTTTTCAAACTTAAGAATAGCTTAATGATGTAGACACTAAAGATAAAACAAATAACATAGAATCAGCAAATATTAATTAAGGAACGAAACTAATCAACCTGACTATGCTTCCATCCTCCAAACACTTCTCCCTCCATTCCTCTTTCTTGCTGAAAATTCCCAAAATTACAAAAACCAATTTTTTTCTTTTTTCAGTAAGAGGTATTACACAAGATTTAGCTTAGCAAAAACATGAAAAAGTAAAAAAAAACAAAACAAAAGAGAGAGAAGGGAACCAACCAAAAGAGAGTAAGAAACTCCAATGAGAAGCTCGCCGACAAAAGAGAGATCGGAGTCAACAACGTTGTACTTGGTCGGCCTAATCTCCGCCGTTCCTTTCTCGACTCCCAATTCCAACAGCTCTTTCACATGTACCCTGTTTATTCATTAATCAAAGATTAATCCAAATCATTTTTACGTACGTATCATGATATGAATATATATGATATTACGTACGTGGCTTCGCCTATGAAATCGTCGGCAGAGAAAGTGTCATGGTCCATGACTTTGACGATGAGTTTGTAATCGGCACCAGAGCCAGGAAACTCTGCTCTCCATCTCAGTTTATCATTCCATGTCGGGTTTCGACCTCCATCTTCTTCATTTAAATAAACACAGCGATTTCCAATCAGCTTCTCACTAATATGCTACCAAAGGTTCCTTTATATCATGTTGTTCTCACATTTCATTATGCATTTTGTTTATAGGAAATTAAAACAATCTTTTTCTTTAGTAAATAAACAGTTATTGTGACTCCTATGATAGTGTTAATTAATAAGTTAATATGGAGCTTGGTGTAGTGATGAATGGTTGAAAATGAGGTAGACAATATCACACTAAATGAGATGACTGCTTTCAGAAGAAAGCTCTATCCATACACATCTACTACACTAAAACATTTTTCAAATTTTAAACCATATACACAAGAAAAGAAACTTATAAACTACCACACAAATGCCTCAAATATAAAATAGTGAAATATTTGAGAGTTGGGAATCCCAACTTGAGATGTACTAATTTTTCCCTAGTAACATTAATAAGCTAGTTTTCTTTAGATTAAAATTATATATTTATTTGATTTTATTATAGACTTTTAACACATGCACATAGCGAATTATTTTTTTGCTTCATTATAACACACAAAAAAAAAAATTGATGATCGAATAATATATTAATATGAATGACAAAAACGTGTTACAAAGCGCAAACAAATAGTAGTATCAAGTATGTATATACCATTCCATCACCAATTCACCACTATTTCCTTGTCTTCAACAAAGTTATATTTCAAAAGAATACTAAACTATAACTTTACTAGGAGTTAGTAGCTAAGCTAAGCTAATTAAGCATGTAATGCTATGACTATGAGGATATTTTGGAATACTTATGGATGCAGGTTGCAACTGTTGACAACCACTAACTATCAGAATATACAAGCATGTGGGCTTTTTTATTTATAAAGCCGGAGTGAAATAGAAAATGAAAAATGGAGAAATAGTCTTCTCTAGCGCATTAAAAAAAAAAAGTCAAAGGTAGAAAAAGCCGAATAAAGGATGATAATACAGATTTGGAAATGCTGAAGAGAAGAGAATATTATTAGAAAGATAAATTACCTTTAGCAACGCTGCTTTTGCGGGTTTGCCCTTTGTATTGGATCTCAACGTATGGATCTATCTTACCTTTTGATCAAGAACCAAAAAAACAAAACATTTTATTATAGAATAGAAGAAAGGGTTTAACAATTTCTAAAAGGATACAAAAATAATCTGAGAGAAATAAATTACCAAGAAAATCAGATCGCTTGAGACCTTTGCCACTGATCAGATTAACCTCAAGGATTCCCACAGCCATCAAGAAGAGTCTCTCTTTTCAAGTTTTTTTTTTTTGGGTTTCTGTTTTCTAAATTAAGAAGAAAGAAGAAGAAAGAGAAATGATGAAGTGGATATGTCTGAGAGAGAGAGAGGAAGGGTCCTTATAAATACAAGAAGCAAGAACACACGCAGACCTTCTCGTTCACATGATTTACTATTTCTTCTTTCTTTTTTAACTTTCAAAACACACATAACCCTGCGTCCGCGTTCCTGGTTGGTTCCGAGACCGGACCATGCCTTACCCAATTTTTTATGTACCATAGAAGAAGAGAAGAGGCAAATAAAACCTAACTCTATGGAACGTTTTGGTCAACTTCAACTATATTAATTACCATCTTACTCCTAGTTGTTGGTTTTTTTTTTTTATATAAAATGAAAGACCAGATTGGCTGCTTGAAAGTTGTATACGAACCAATCAGAAAGTACGTAATCGGGCCTTTTTATTGTCCAAAGTAGACCCAAGAAAAGAATCATGGCTTTCTAGATGGAGTCAAATTATTCTCTTCTGAGAAATTCTTAGACATAAGACTTTCTCCATGAGATTTGCAACGGCTGCTGCTACGAAATAAAGAAGAAACTTCATTTCTCGATCTTGACCATACGAGAGACGACTTGGTTTCCTTGCGTTTCAATTCACACATCAAAACCTTAACCAATCTTCATACAAAAATTCAGAATAAGACCCATTAAACCGAGGACAGATTCAAGTAAGATCACAAGACACGACTATCTTTAACAAGCCAGAGTAGAAAGTTTTTGAAGACACGCAGACCACTACTAGAGAGAAACAAAGACGACCCATAAAACGTTGCACAAAGCTTTGGTCTTTGAGATAGGGAGAGAGATGGCTTCTTAACATCAGTATCATCTTGGAGATGCCTCCACAGACCTGGACCTAGATCCTGATGGCGACCTTGAAACAGCTCTTCCACCACGACGCCTTTCCTCTGGTTCATAGCCAGGTTTCCTAAAATGTCCAAATACGAATCATCAGACACAATCCTTAGGGGGCAAAAAGAAAAGCAGACGCAATGTCTCACTTACTCTCTAATCTCATTGTCTCCATTTCTGTCCCGGTCTTGAGCAGCATCACCTTCATAGCCAGGGGAGTAGGACCTGCGACTGTATTTTACTTCTTCTTCTCCACGAGGTGGACCTCTTGGTGGTGATCGTGGACGTTCCTCTTGCCTTCTCCTTGGAGATGGTGAATAATCTGCTCCTCTTCGTCTTGGTGCAGGAGAGTAAGACCTGTGACACCACTATGTAAATTATACATGCATCTCATTGACATGATATTGATGTAAATGTATGAGTGACAAAGCAGGTTACCTTGATCGGTATCTGCTTCTAGAGTCTGATGGACGACGGGGAGAGCGTGATCGAGAGATTGACCGTGAACGAGACCGTCCTGAAAACATTCAATCATAGACATACTCAAGCTATGAATATAAGCAAGTGCGTCACAATCTAGCTGTGCTCATATATGTTGGCATTTGTCTGTTAAAGAACATAATAAGTGCATACTCAGAGAGAAAATCACTAACCATGAGAACGACCTCTTGAGCCTGAGGGTTCCCTGAAAACAGAAGACAATTCGTTGATAATTGTTCTTAACTTCTATTGAAAAATGATAGAGAACTTACAGAGTATTGATGATGAAGAGCAATATGATTTATAACTTTTGCTTTAGCAATCAAAACTTGGAAACTTACCTACTACGGGTCCTAGTCTTCACTCGCATCTCCTCGGGCCTTTTTCTAGACTCTGAAGCAACAACCACAGTGATCTCTCTCCCAGCAAATATCCTCCTGTTCATGCTTCTTTGAGCTTCCCCAGCATCGTATGCATCAACAAACTCCACAAAGGCAAACCCCCGGGGTTCCCTACATAATTCATAAGAAGTTTATCATCTCAAGTGTTTGATGGTTGATAGCAAATGCACATAACACTAGGAAATTCTGAAATTACCAGCAAAATCAGCCTACACTCTACCACTAGTCTGTATACCTTTCTCAAATATCGTAATTGTGCTTCTGAGAACGTCTAAGTAAACGTCATCTTCTGAGAACTTCTAAGAAAGCAGACTTCTACTTACGCATATATGGCTAGTAGCTGACCTTTTCTTAACAGTTTAAGCACATTAACTCGAAAAGAGGCAAGAGATCTTGTAAAAATAAGAAGCACTTGATCCCAAAAGTAAGATCTCTTCATTTCGTCTTCCCCAACAAACTTCTAAAGTTTGAGTAATTTATTGTAAAGCTTCATAAGAAACAATCTTCACTTACTACTGCTTCCATATAGAACAATCTTCACTTACTACTTGCTTCCAAACAAAACCCTCACTTATTACTTGCTTCCAAACAAAACATCTTCACTTATAACTTGCTTCCAAACAAAACATTCTTGATTTGAAATGACTCTTAATATCCTTTTGAACCAATAAGTTAAAGCAATTTTTCACAAGGGCTTCATCAAATGTGGGGCTTGGTCTTGTTTTAACTTCAAGCCAACATACCCCCTGGGAAATCATTCAACGTTTAATGTACTATGGAAAAAGAAAGTTGAAATAGAAAGCTCTGAAATTTCGAGTACTCATTGGAAAAGGTCTCTTCTCACCTCGAGAATTTAGCTTGAACAGAAAGTGGAGAGTAAACAAACAAACAAAAAAAGTTAACCGCCTAGCTTGCGCGAAAATCAAAAGTCATATGTCATCTGGATTCTTTCTCAATTTGTGCAAACACCCTTAAACTATAATAGCAAACGGTTCAGCACTGAATAGGAAGCAACCATCATTGCAATGTAAACAAAGGAAGTGAAAATTGGTACTCAAAACATATTCTACAGGAAAACAATGCTAATCATAACATAACTAGTCTATCTATAAAGGTTAACAGCTCAACAGACATTCAGGTGAAACGAAAAAGATAAAGACATCAAGAAGGAAAGGAAGAGGAGGCTCACCCTGAGTAATAGTCTCTCGGGATATAGACATCTCTCACAGGTCCAAACCTCTCAAAGGGCACACGAAGCTCTTCTGGTCTGCGAAATAAATATATAAATAAAAAAAAACAAAAAAATCAGCAAAGCCAATAGAGTCTTAAGAAGATAATTAAAAAAAAAAAATTCAGCTTTAAGCAGAGAGAGAAAGAGAAATTACCTGCAATCAAGAGGAATGTTACGGACCAAGAGACTTCCATGGCTAGATCCTTTACGTCCACCACCACCATATCCACGTCGAGGAGGAGGAGGTGGACTTCTACCACGACCACCATAGCCTCTCCTCGGAGGGCTGTAATAAGGCGGACTGTATCTCCTCATGTTTCGGAAACAAAAGCCTACCATAGAAGATACGTATTTAACACCAGATCCTCAAATTCATCAAACAAAATCTTGTTTCTGGGAAGAACTGTAATTTCTTTAGAATTGGAGGATTCAAGAGAAAGATCAAGAACATACCTGCAACGGAGCACTTGTGTAACTTGAGAGTAAGCAAGAAGAGAAGATGGTAATGGAAAAATTGTTCAAGACGACAGATCTGATGAAGTGAACCCTTAGCTTTCTTTTAAGAGAAGAGAAAAAGATGACTTCTCTTTGATTTTTTTCTATTGGCTGGTCGGAGTGATAGGCCCATATTTTAAATGGGCTTGGCCTTATTGCTATTTTCCATTTTTCCATATATAAAAAAATTGCGTGGAAAACAAATAGAGAGACTGGTCTAGTAACGGCCAATGAACATCTAATTACAGTATGATGACTTTAATGTTAATCCAACTTATTTCTGTTTTGACTTAATCAGCTTAAGATTCGATATTTCGTATGTTTAACGACATTTTTTATGGAATTTGATCAATTTAAAACTTTCAATGATTTTTGTAACTATATTATGGTATTTTGGGCACACCCAATTTATCTTTACGTTGCAGCATTATTTAACTATAATGATTAAATATTTGATCAAATTGAATCAGTAGAAATTAGTTACATATGGTGAACTAAAACTGATAAGAACAGAGTGGTTTTGGAATACATCACCAAAATATTTGATCTATCAGAACAAAAGAAAACAATAGATTATCTCCAAGTCAACAGGAGCAAAACTATAACCAGTGAAATAAAATCACTTCACACGACAATATTACAACACATAAACAAAGGAGTCAAAAGGAGACATGAGACCTAACCAGTAACCACATTTATTCTATACCTACTACAAACCATCAGTTTTTCTGTTTAATCCGTTTTTCTGGTACTTGTCTTCTACTTTCAATCCCACAAGTTTCTTGGTATCCTTAATCTGGTCGACGTTGGCCGGTTTTACCACGCTGTCTTGCAGCTGTACCAAGGCTCGGACAACTTGGTCCATGGTCGGGCGCGATTTGGGTTCGAATGAGAGGCACTGCACAGCAATGCTTGCCAATCTCACAGCACCTTCGGGTTTGTACTGTGAGTTAAGCCGAGTGTCCACAATTAGTAGAACCTTTCTCCTGCTTGTGAGGTACGGTCTAGCCCAATCCACAAGGTTTTGCTCCTTGGCTGGGCGGGTATGGTCCAGTGCTTGTCTTCCACAGAGTAGCTCCAGAAGAACAACCCCAAAACTGTATACGTCACTTCTAGCATTCAAGTGACCTAAAAAAAGATAAAAGGATGAGAGAAAGAAACTAAGAATGAGACTCTAACAACATAAATGCTGTAGTTGCTGCTCTTTAAATTCACATTAAAACCAATGTCAGGACTAATGCCACAACATAAGTTTCGTGAGACAACAATTGACCATATTATATATTAGTAACAGTTCATATCAGAGAAGTGATAGAATTTACCTGTTGAGACATACTCTGGCGCGGCGTAGCCAAATGTGCCCATGACCCTTGTACTAACATAGCTTGTTTCTCCCATTGGACCGTCCCTAGCTAATCCAAAGTCCGAAAGCTTTGCATTGAAGTCCTGTTGTTTTGAAAGACAAAGTCAGTATGTTTAGGTCGTTGATAAAGACAACAAGTACACTTGACGGGTTTTTCCAAAAGAGAATAGCATATTACCGAGTCAAGTAAGATGTTAGACGCCTTGATGTCTCGGTATATGACTTTGACGGGATCGCTATGTAGAAAGGCGAGGCCTTTAGCTGCATCAAGTGCAACCTTAATCCTTAGAATCCAAGAGAGCGGCTTAAAATCCCGATTTCCTGCTTCAAAAACAATTCAAACATAAGAACAAACAACCAACCTCTCAAGTAACACAAAACATGGTTTTTGATCAATCATAAAGAGATCAAAGACTCACTTGAGAACAGATGATTCTCAAGACTACCCTTGTGCATAAACTCATACACAAGAAGCCGTTGTTCATCTTCCACGCAATAACCAATCAATTTAACTAAATTGGGGTGACTTAACTGCCCCAAGTAGTTGATCTCTGTCTGAATCACAACAACAACAGAAAAAACACAACAGGTCAGAGTCAGAGCCATGAAATCAAAACATTGGTGAAAACATAAGAACAAGTGGGTCGTACCAGCCATTCTCGGTGACCTTGAAAACCATCAGGGTTAAGCCGCTTAACAGCAATTACAAGACCGGAGCTAGATTTGGTAGGGGTGAGAGTGGTCTCATCAAGCCAGCCTCTGAAGACACAACCAAAGCCACCTTCTCCAACAACAGAGTCCGATCTGAAGTTTCTGGTAGCGAGTTTAAGTTCACTAAAGCTGAAGCTTTTAACGCTCGTTGAGCTAAGTATCTCTCCTTCTGTCCTATGAGCTGCCGCAGATGATGACGACGATTTATAGCTCGAGAGATGAAGATCATCGAGACCACTACTACTCTTATCTGCACAACAACACACAAAAGCGTTGACCAAAGTCAAAATCGAGAATACCAAAAAAAGGGGAAAACTTTTTAAAGTTAGATCACGGGAAGATTCTTTGCAAATCTCATTCCTTTTCTTAAAACCCACTAACAATTAGCCGAAAAGATCATGACTTTGAAGAGATAAACATGTGAAAATCTCAAATTTCCCCGGGAAGAAAAACACAAACACAAAAATGGGAGATGAAAGAAGAAGATTGTAGTTGTAGAGAACGCACTGAGGACACGAGAACTGAGACAAGAACCCATTGAGGTAGAGAGATGGATCAAATGATGAAAAAGATCGTATTTGCCCTTTTCTGACAAAAATGAATTGGCTTCTTGAGCTGTTTTTGTGTAGAACAGATTCTCTCAGATAAAACCCATTAAAGCAGAACAGTTGAGAAGAGAAAGAGAAAGATGTGAAGAAGGAGAGAGAGAGAGAGAGAGAATGAGAAGAGAAGATGGATGTTGATGAGATACTAGAGGCAACCAAAGGAAGAAGAAAGGTCTTTTTCTTTTTCGTGTCCAAAAACGAATTCAGACAAAAGTATTTGACCAAAAGAAACTTTATGGGGTTCTACTAGTTAATGGAAACGAGTTCAATTAGTAATAATATAATAAATCAATCAGTGTGACTTTGCTCTTTTATGGTCTGTACTTGCTATAGGTTTGATATGATCTTCTATGCAAGGACCTGACTATAGTAGATAGTCTATAGAGCTTAACGTCTATAATGATACGTTAAAGATTCAAAATGATGTCTTAATAGGTTTGAGTCAGATGGTCTTTTAGGTTTTGGAATCTTTGCTTGGTCTATGAATTCTCCGTGGTGGGGTTTAATGCATAAAAAGGACAAAAAAATTGTTGAAAATGATAGTTATTTTCGATTTTAAATGCTTTGGGTGTGGAATGATGAGACAGATTCGGGTTTTAGTACTATTGGTACAATAGAAGAAACGCATACAAAAGCAAAACTGTACCTTGTTAGAATTCAACATAACTTTTTACACAAGTAGGTAAGAAAATAAGGTTTGTAAAGAACAAGGAAACATCTCTAGTTATACTTTTTTTTTTGTACAAAGCCATATCTACTTATACAAGTTACAGTTTCATACAAGTAGGTAAGAAAATTATGAGTTTGTAAGAAGAAAAAAAATTTCTACTATAATACTTGTGTTTAATGAAATTTGTGCCAGTAAATAAGTTTGAACTAAATGTTGTTGTCTTTGTATAACAAATAAAAATATTTTTTTTTTTTTTTTTTTTTTGAATGAATGTAAAAAATATTTTTTTTGTTTAAACTATTTTGTTTTCTAATGCATTAATGATGTGTTTTCAAGTCATACGGACCCAAAATCACTCCATTGCCGAAAGGATCGATGACTTCGTCAAACCTCCTCTTCTATGGTCACAATTGTTTGCTCCTTAAGCAATTAAGTCTAACGTCAACTAAATAATATAATACACATAAGTTTTCAAAAATCCTTATTTTCCTAAAAGTGAAACACTCATAAATAAATAAAATACTATGATTTGATGAAGGTTACTAAAAATGTGGGTTGACTTGGGACTTGGGAGAGATTACCGATACGTTATCACATTTGTAGCTGAGTCACGTAATTGTGTCAATTTTATTGGCATGAGTTGTATTTTCGTGGTCGGGTCAAAACCCATATACATTTTTTGATTACACTTGAGACCTTGAGTCCAAATTTTTTAATAACAGTTTTGACATTCGGAGCTCTTCGTTTGGACTTTTATCCCATCTAATATTTTTTACATGAACACTTTACTTCCACTGAGCCGTTTTATTGATTACTTATTAGTTATTTAATCATCATTACAAGATTCGTGTCGGCATACGCATCCTTTTTTCTACGAGCAAAAACATTGACATTACTGATAATGAGCTTCTGCTTCACCATGAAATTTCATTTTCTTATTTTTTTTACTCTAATCTACACGATGTTGAACATTGTTCATGATGACGACAATAAAGTTGAAAATAATAGTATTCTAAAAGCTAAAATGTCAAAATTGACAAGCCAATAGGCAAAAGCGAAAGACAAAAACTAATTAAAAAATAACCCTTTCCCACTCATTTTAATCTCTCAGCTTTCAGATAAGTTTGCAATCTTCCTTCATTCAGTGGTTGACAGCATCATTGAGAGAATATTAACAAAGACATTTTGATATTAATAAACAAGACGGGTAGGGTTTGATCGGTAATTAAGAAACAAACGTTTAGAATCAAAACGCGAGGGGTTATGATTTATCAACACCGAACACAGCTTCACTTCACTTATAAAAAAGGAAGAGATCCGCAAGTTAACAGCTTAATAAATGGCCGAAGAGAATGATTGTTGCGTTCTCAAAACAAATATAGTAAACAGAGAAACTTTTGCCAAATACAAACTGAACCAAAATGTATCATCATACCAACTTATTCATTTTATCAGAGTTGAGACTGGGAAAAGTAATTCATTTTCAAACTGCTTAATGAACTCATTAGGCACTTTTTTTCACCTCTGCAGCCTTGATGATGTCGATAAACTCAGGCTGCAAACGCAAAAATGAACCCAAAAAAAATACATCAGACATGGTTTTGAGTGAAACAAAACGAAGATGTTATATCAAGGCAAAACATAGTATATGTATGTACCTTTAGAGAAGCACCACCGACCAAGAAACCATCAACATCGGCTTGACCTCCTAGCTCCTTGCAGTTACCACCATTGACGGATCCTGATATGAATTTGCACAATCAAGCTAAGTAACATAAAACTCTTGAGGGGAAATTAATCAGAATTGTGTTACTGTCACATAGGATATGTTAAACCTACCTCCGTAAATGATGCGGGTTGTAGCTGCGACATCAGCACTCACGTTCTTGGCAAGCCATTTCCTGAGTTCATCGTGTACCTGTTCATAAATGTAATAAGTTTCCATAAGATAAAGATAATTGGTTTTCCATTAAAAACTTAACATATCCAACAATGTTCAACTGCTCATATGCATCAACAACAACTTACTTCTTGAGCTTGGGCTGGACTAGCAACCTTTCCGGTTCCAATGGCCCACACTGGTTCATAGGCTATGACAACATTTGACCAGTTCGTCACCCGATCTGCCATTACAAACAAAAATGAGTTCTTAAGCCAACAAAACATTTTTGTGTGGTATGAAGATATACAATAAGGGGGTATATTGAGTAGAAACAGGAATTACTATCATCATAACAGGTCTTAGTGTCAATGAGAATGAACTCAGATAGCAAAAAGAGACAAGTGTTTGACGATATACTTACCAGCGATAGCCTTGGTCTGGGCAGCCACAACATCCATGGTTGACCCAGCCTCCCGCTCCTCAAGAGTCTCACCGACACAAGCAATCACTTTCAAACCTTGAGCAAGTGCATAGGCAACCTTGTCTCCGACAAACTACAAATGAAGGATACAAGTCAAAAACCAAAATCATGGATCTAAAAGCTGATTTGAGTAGTACTCCATAAATTGTTTTTTTCCATCATGAAAGATCACTAACCTCGTTTGATTCATTAAGGATTGCCCTCCTTTCAGAGTGACCAAGGATAACCCATGGGATATCCAAGTTCACAAGCATCTCCGCACTGCACACACAAATTACACATCATAAGTGCATGAAATAATATGCAGGAAGTACAGACACCACGTGATATATATACATAAGACTTCCTATGAAAGTCAAATGGACAGGTGAATCATTTTACGCCTGATAACCAGGCACGTATCCTATACTGGTTCATTGGTTCATTCAGTAAAGATCTCTGTTAAAAACAAACAGTTGAGACAAATGATAAGATTAAAGTATACACCAGTGGGGAGAATCTCACCTAACTTCACCAGTGTAAGCACCTCCCTTCTTAACCCAACAGTTTTGTGCCGCAACAAAGAAGTCAGACCTCAATGTGCTCTTAACCAGGGGAAGAAAAACATATGGAGGGCTAACCACAACCTCTGCATTAGTAAAATTTCATCAAATTATTTATCCAATCACAATTGAAGTTCTCACTATTAACAGAAATATAACCAATATCAAAACATGAAGGATCACATGTAGATGATAAAGAATAATTTGACTAACAACAAACACATGATCAATTTAACCATGCTTGCAGAGATCAATGCACATTTGATCTACCCACAGCTTCACTATGTAACAAGCCATATAAATTGAGATAGACTTGTTTGTATGCCCAAATTTAAAATTTTTTTCCCAGCACATCCCTAAGATCTCATAGATGTAGAAAACAAAAACCAAAGTCCAATTAAAGCAATGGAGATGCTACACTTACCAACAACATCCTGCGAAGGTACTTGAGCTTCATTAAGAGTGTTAACAATCTTCTTCACCTCCTCAGCAGTTCCATTCTACATTCGATTTTTTAAAAAAAAATCAAAACAAATTAAAACATCTTTGACCCAAAATAACAAGAACGTGATCCAAAATGACGCGGAAAAAGCAAATCAATCCTAGCATGTTCAAACACAGATCCATCAAAACTAGAACACGAGACCAATCGATCAAGAATTCGTAAACAAAATTGACAGAAATATGAGATCGGGAAATCGAATCGTCAAATCACAAACATCAGTACTAGATCAATAGCATCTAACCAAAACATGGATCTGAATTCTACGTCAGCCGAAGCAAACCATAAACAAAACCTTAAAACTGAGATTTTCCGATCTCGTTCACTTGATCGGGGAAAAACTGAAAACTACACAGGGATCCAGCAGGGTAGATCACTTACACATTTCCAGTTGCCTCCAACGAAGAACTTTCTCGCCATTTCGCTAAAGTGTTTTTGTTGTTGTTCAGACGATGATCACGAGAGTCACAGGGAGAAGAGAGAGCTAAAAAGAGATTAGATCGAAAGAGTGTTCAGTGGCCGTTGTCGCTCGGAGGAGTCACTGATATATAGATAAACAAATATTACTCTCAATATTTTATATAGGAAAAGACGCATATGTCTAGGGGATAGGGGAATATTCTCTGAAAAATTAGGAAAGGTGAGGGTAATAAAGTAACTTATCAGGGAGGAGGAAAATATTGTGGACGTGTTGGGCAAGGTTTGGTCGGTGTGTGACGGGTGGGGTTAATAGAATAGACAACGGCGTGGATAGTGATGCTCTATTTTATAAGGCTTTAGGCCCAATAAAGCATATAAACATAGATGGTTAAAGCCCACTAATATGGCGACATCCATTAATTTATGTTACGTTTATTTATAGAGAAACAAAAAAAACTTAGCACTGGTGATTTGTTTATTGAGAAAGAAGAATGGGCTTTACAAAGAGTAACGTGGTCTGTGCAACCAGTATGTAATTCGATAATGACAATAAACTGTTTAAGTAATTGTAGACAGTAGTATAGAAATCACAACATTTTAGTTCTGAAATTAACTTTCACTATGAGTTGACATTTGTTCAAAAAAATTCAAATATAATTTTGGTAATTTCTTGAACTAAACATTTTTGGCATTTTCAGTCAACTTAGTCTAGAAAGTATTAGTATACAGAAGCATCATATTATATTGTGTAAAAACATTATACTAGTAGAATGTAACTATGTTAAATTGTTTTTTTTTTTGTTTCTTAATAAAAGAAGTTGCGTGGATTGTGCAATCAGTGTAAGTGTGTAAATTAGATATGTCATTTGATAATGACAATAAACTGTTTGTTAACTAAAAATAGTTAATGTGGAGAGACATGGACGTACGCGGATCTTCTTCTTTTTTTTTGTTTTCCGAACGAAAAGCACAACAAATGGCTAACTAAAAGATAAGAAGAAGAGTGTCGGTAAAAGTTAAAGAATCAGCTTTCCTCAACAACATCATCTTTCTTCATACTTCGAATCTATTTGACTTTGGTCCGAACTCCAAACTACTCTCTCCTGCCTCCTACCAACACGTGTCCGATGGCTCTATCCGAAACCGCGTTCATCTCTTTTTTATTTTTAATTATACACATTTGGTAAGTACTTTAATATTACTAATTTAACGATATTTTTAAAAATAAATCTTGTTTTAGTAGTAAAATGAAAACAGTCAGATCTCACTTGACCTCACTGAAAAGTGAGAAACATCTTTATAAAAAAACAACAATTATCTTTCAAATTTTTATTTTTGTTCTTTCTTATAACGAATAATATTATAGGAAATCCAATCCCGTAAACTGATTTCGAGATTAAAACAGGCGTAAGTTTTAGATAAAAATACAGATAATTTGGGTATTATTAGTAAATTAGTTACAAAATACAATTGTCCAAATTAACTAAAAAAACTTTGACGGTCACAACTCAAAACGAAATCCACTTTTTTCAATAATTAACAACGGCCCTAAATTTAAGCAAATGGCACATGAAAAAAAGAGACAACACAAACTTTTTCTTCTTTCTTTCTAAAAAATCCAGCTGTTCCTCACTAAAAATATACATATACACACACTTATACAACACGTTTACGCATACACAAAACGGCCATATCTATTTATTTTAATAATTTCTATTGTTATAAATAGTTTTTATCCAAATATACCAAACAATTAAAAACAAATTCTCTCCGTCATAATAAAAACACAACTCAAACGATTCACGGGTTTCACTTTGAATCGTTTGATATTTCCCCTATCTCTCCGAAATAACCACGAAAAAACAAAAAAAAAGATGGCCAAAGCGCCACCGTCAAGATCTCTCACCTCCCTCATCCTCCTCCTCTCTACCGCCGCCGTGTTCCTCTCTCTCCCCGCCGTCATCTCCGCCATAGGTGTCAACTACGGAACTCTCGGGAACCTCCCACCACCTACTCAGGTGGCTAATTTCATCAAGACTCAAACCTCCATCGACAGCGTCAAGATCTTCGATGTGAACCCTGACATCCTCCGTGCCTTCGCCGGTACGGGTATCTCCGTCGTCGTCACTGTTCCTAACGTAGATATCCCGGCGTTAGCTAACGGGGTACAAGCTCGTAGGTGGGTATCGGCTAACATTTTGCCGTTTCATCCTCAGACGAAGATTAAGTATATATCCGTCGGAAATGAGATTTTGCTCACCGGAGATAACAACATGATTAACAATCTCTTGCCGGCGATGAGGAATCTTAACAATGCTTTGGTTCGTGCTGGTGTCAGAGATGTTAAGGTCACCTTTCTCTCCTTATTTTTTTCCCCCATTTTTCAGATTTTTTCCTATTTTTAGTTTAGAAATTAATTCGTGTTTTTTGTTTTTTTGTAAAGAAATTAATATGGTTTCGCATTATTATTTCACAAATTCTTAGATAAACTTCGGAATTTTTATCTGATTTACGTAGCTTTATTTTTATTTTTTGAAGTAAAGAACATGAAAAATTATGAAATAGTGAATTAATTGATTGGCGTGAAAAAGATGCACTGTTTTGTTTTCTTTCCTTTTTAAGTTTTAACAGAGACGATGCATCCATCAATTGCGCATATTAAGTTGGAACAACAACGTTGAAAAACAAATATTCAAAACAAAAGCTGATTATTTTGAAAATTATTTTAGATTGATATCTGTTTTTAATTTCCACGTTATTTAGACAAAATTGAAAGATTTGAAAGTGTGGTAAGATCTGACCATTTAGACTAATACCACGTGCTTATCTCACCGTCCAAGGTTGTGTCCTTTAGATTCTTGATGTGTCTGCCATGTCTTATGTTTCCCTTTACATCATGCTACATGTTTTTTTTCGTAATTTAGTCCACACATGATTATACCATACGTAACAGTTTGATTCTAATATTACTATTTTGTTGCAATTGAACTCAGGTCACAACCGCACACTCACTCAACATCATAGCCTATGACTTGACTGGTGCACCAAGCAGCGGTAGATTCAGGGCTGGTTGGGACAAGGGCATATTAGCTCCAATCCTAGCTTACCATCGCCGCACCAAGTCTCCTTTCATGGTCAACCCCTACCCTTACTTTGGTTTTGACCCCAAAAACGTCAACTTCGCCATCTTCCGTACTCCGTACAAGGCAGTCCGTGACCCCTTCACCCGCCACGTCTACACCAACATGTTCGATGCCCTCATGGACTCCACTTATTCCGCCATGAAAGCTCTTGGATACGGCGATGTTAACATCGTTGTTGGCGAGACTGGCTGGCCTTCTGCTTGTGACGCACCTTGGTGCTCGCCCGCGAACGCTGCTTGGTTCAACCTCAACATTATCAAACGTGCACAAGGCCAAGGGACACCTCTCATGCCTAAAAGACGTTTCGAGACTTACATTTTCGGTCTTTTTAACGAAGAAGGCAAACCTGGTCCGACCGCAGAACGAAACTGGGGACTTTTCCGTGCAGATTTCTCCCCAGTTTACGATGTTGGTCTTCTCCGAAACGGACAAGGTGGTGGCGGCCGTCCAGCATTGCCTGCGCCTAGTACCGCCGGTGGTAAATGGTGTGTGGCGAGGTCGGGTGCTTCGGATAAGCAGCTGCAAGACAACATTAACTGGGTGTGTGGTCAGGGAGGCGTTGATTGTAAACCAATCCAAGCTGGTGGTTCGTGCTTTAACCCGAGCAGTGTGAGGACGCACGCGTCTTTTGTGATGAACGCTTACTTCCAGAGCCACGGTCGCAGCGATGGTTCTTGTAATTTCAGCGGAACTGGTATGGTAGTAGGGAACAACCCAAGCAATGGTGCGTGTAAGTTTTAAGATATTGTATTGTCTATTGTAGTATTTGTCTGGAACGTCCTAACATAATGGTTCTGAGAAACTTTGGATTTGGAGAGATCATCATCACCTTTGTGCTTAATTTCGGATATTCTAATTTTTATGGTTTTTTTTTTGTTGTTAATTCCTTTTTCCTTTTATTTAAAATAAATAAAGTGGAACTTCGCATAAGATTTTGCTTCAGAGTTGCGCTTAAAAAAAAATTATCTATGTGATCTTTATGTTGGATTTAGATGATCCATCAACGTATAAAGCAAATATGAACGTTAGATCACTATCTTCTTATATACAACATAATTATGTCTTTCCAGGCCATGAGATTGTGCATCAGTTAAAAATTTCAGCATTATATGCATCTCTTTCCTGCATTTCCGGTCAGTCATTGACGCTAAACACTCAACAACCGGTTAAATTGTCATTGACAAATGGCAATGATCAGTAACGTATCATTTGAACGCTCTATGGCATTGTAAACATATATTAACATTGACAACGTCTGCACAACATCCATAACATTTTGTTAGTCGTCAAATCTATAAAAACAATCCATGAAACGCCGTAGTAAAGTTTGAAATCACATTCAAACCATATCTGAGCCATTGAGTTACACCAAGCAGGAGTAGACAAGTAGTAACTGATCAGTGATAACATCTATACCACAGTGTAATGTGCATAGTCATCACAACTACATTCTTCATAGAATAAATATATAGTATAACTTCATTAGGTTTGATGCGTCATGCATGTATGCACAATGACACTGAAACTAAACTCTCAAATCATAACAAAACACTAAAATGATAGTTTTATAAATTCTAACACACTAATTTCTTTGACATTCTTGATCAGAAAATCATAAACAATCAGCAAGGCTTTCCCATTTCACTTAATAATTCTAAGTGAGGTTCTTCAGCTTCTGATCACGATCCGATGGTGAAGTTCATCAACAAAAAACTAACTCAACTCAAAATTTTAATCTTACTAATACCATAACTTTGCACCCAAAAAAAACACACACACACACAACAAAATTAATAACAATTCACTAGGGAACCAAAAATAAATAAATAAACAGAAATTTTTTATATATATAAATAAAGAAAAAAGTAGTAACAAAAAAAAAGAAGAAGAAAAACAAAAAAGAGAGGCATCCCAATTAATAAGAGTTGAATGGTATAGTTGAAAGTGTGTATTTTACTTAGTGAGCCATGGCAAAAGGAGGAGGACAAGAGTTGTAATTAATACTTTTCTGGTGGGGCATTACAAGCATTGCGGTGTGATCCATGAAGTCTTTCAAAGCCACCACCGCTTGTAATATTACCTTCAAGTCCTCCGCCGCCTCAAACCCTTCTTTCCCGGCGTTTCTCACCGCGTATACGTAAAACGTTATACATCCTTTCCTGAACTTGAACCTCGCCATCTCCCACTTCTTTATCTTTCTGATCATCTTCTTGTTCACATCTCCGAGCGGTATCTCCGTCGGCCAGATTCCTCCCTCCGCCGCAACAACCGATGACTTCATCGCCTCTGTTTCGAATACGAACACCACCACTTTTGATTTCTTTGTTCCGAGACCGAGGGTTAGCGTGTGCCAAGCGTGGTGCGCAAGGATTGTGAAGTTCGTCGGGAGATAAGCCGCCGTAGAAAGAAGCGGCGGGGATGATGAAGAAGGTAAGGAGAGGAGTTTGAGAAGCTCGAGCGTTCTTGCTCGTCGGATTGTGAATGATTTGACGATGATCTGGCCGCCGAATTTGAGACCTTTAACGTCGGAGGAAGGTTTGAAAGATATGTCTGAGGAGGAGGAAGATTGTTGCTGGTGCTTCTCTTTCTCTTTCTTCTTCTTCTTTTTTGTTTTCTTCTCTTTCTCTGCCATGGCTCTGTTTCTTTCTTTCTCTCTTTGTGATGATGATGAAGTTTGGTGGTAACTTTGGTTTGGTGCTTTTGATTGAGTTGAGCCTACTGTCTCTTTCTTTCTTTTTTTAATTTCCTTTTTCTTACTTACTTTATTTTTGTTTAGTGAATTATGTTGTTTCTTGATTTTGTAATATTATTATTACAACAACGTTCATGACTCATGAGACAGGTTTCTGAAGTCTGTTTAATTGGAAAGTTTGTTTAGACGTCAACTGCAATAAATGCCATTTCTATAGATTTCTGTGAACTGCAAGAACAAATAAATTAAAGAAAAAAATCTAGTTTATAATAGTATTGTTCAATTCCAAAATTTGCTATATTCCCATCAAACTCAACATAATTTGAAAAGAAACAAACAGTAACTACGATGGTATTGGTGTTTTAACTAGGTCTGAAGTTTTTGTTTCAGTGGTTCTGATTTTTATAAAGGTAGTGTCGAATGCTCTAAAAAATTCGAAAGGATGAAAATGTTGGGTGAGTTATAAATTCACCAAGAAGTAGTATAAATATAGTTGTCGGCAATAGTAAGGGAGGATACTTTAAATCTTATATTATTATTCGATGCTCCTCTCGATAATGTTTATCTCAATCGTACTTTCAAGTATTGTTGTTAGTTCAGTTGGAAATGTTTGATCTTATATATTCTTATTCCATAGAGTTTGGTAGAGATGTTTTTGTAATAATCTCAAAAGGCTAATATTATATATAACGTAGTCTTTCATATTATATTTGTTAGTTTCTTAAACCATGTCATAATAAAAGTCTTGACTTCAAATTCAACCAAAAAACAGCATAATGCTTGTTACCTAGTACAAAACAACAAAAGTAGTTTTTAGTGGTCTCAGTGAGCATAATATATATCAAAGATGGTTTTGTTTGGTAGATTGTTTAAATGCAATTAGGTGAAGTCTATGACCCATCCTAGTATTATGTTTGTCAAAAACACCATTAATTACATGCAAGACTAGTCAAGCTCCTCATTTAAAAAAAAAAAAGATATGTTTTCGTCAAATTATTATTGTCTTGCACCGTCAAGGAAAAATTAAGTTTTACGTTGCTTAAAAACATGGTTTAATCGGTAATCAATCGTAGTAAATAGTAATGTGGAACAACATACCGACAAGTTTGCAACAACTCTTTTTTTGCATAATGATTTTGCAACAAAGTTTTTGATCTGTGATGATAATTCAGTTATAAAATTTGTAGCAATTTCTACTACAAAGGAACTACCACCAACAAGATTGGATCCATTATTTTTAATCTAGTGTATGTGGATTTAGATAAATCAACAAACCTACAGTTTTGCATCTTTCGTAACTTTATATAGTTGTTTTTATTTTGTATTAACAACAACATGTAATATACGGATATGAATTTAGATAATAATATATAGGCAAAGATTTGATGGTGAAGCTGGTAATGATGGTACCAAATGTCTCACACATGACAGGTATGATGAGTGCATCCATTAAAAGCATATTTTTCGCAGCAGCAATTAGAGAATGGCTCCACAACTTTGCTTTTCTTTTCTAAAGTGATATACATTATTAAAACCTGTTCTCGATTTATACATTTGGATATTTAATTATAATTTATATGTTATTAGTGTCAACAAAGTAAGTATATGGTATCATTATCTTCCTATATTATTTGAATATACATATTTTGTAGATCTATGACGTATCATTTACAAAAAGAGAATATTTGAGTTTTATACTTGTTCTAACTTGGTTATCGTTATTATATTATTATCTTAGGCGGGGTGGATGAAGTTATGGTGTGTCTGAACAGTGAACACATCTACTACCTTCGTTTGAACTCATAATAATACTGTACCTTTCATTGTTTCTTCGGATATAACGAGGAAATTGGTACATACGTAAATTGGAATTTTTATATCAAGCGACCAGCACCATAGCAAACCAAATCTTAACCGTTTCTAACAAGTATACCGATTTGAAACCAATAATTCACTTTTTTAGAGAACAAGATGACGAAAACAGACAATGACAACGCAAAAGATGGATCAAAGAAGTAAAAGGACGAGCAAAAACAAAACTGTATTTTATCAAAATGAGATTTTTATGTTTTGACCTGCAACACAAGACAGGCTCAAAATCAATGGGACCAAAAAAATAACAAAGAAACTGAGGATTTTTTTTTTCAGTGTTGTTTAGCACTTTTGCATAACCCAAAGTCCTTATTTTCAAAGTTTTCTCCCTTTTTTTTCTATTCAGTCTGAGATTTCATTTAGACACGGACGAGCTTTCTAGTTGATGGGTTCCTTTCCGATGGCTTTCTGGACTAGCTCGGCTTGCTCTTTGACATGGAATGTGTAGAAACCCGTGGCAGTTGCAGCAGAGGGACCACGACCAACATACTTTATGTCTTCCATATCTCCTCTGTTTAAGCTTCTCATTGCTGTCCATAGCCGTGGAGATATGTAGCTGAATGCTCCCATGTTCATCGCCTCTTCTTGGCACCAAACGATCTCAGCATCTGTTTCAGACCAACACAAAAACAGGTTTTAGGGGTTGACATAAAAAGCCAAACCGAACCAATCCAGAGATAGTTTAGGTACGTACTTGGATATCTCTTGAGCTCACGCTGAATGAGATCGTATGGGAAAGGACAAAGCTGTTCCACTCTACAAATAGCAACATCAGTTGCGCCGACCTTCTTCCGTTCATCATCAAGCTCATAATATACCTACAAAGAAGCAAAAGAGAGAATGTCTCTTTAAAATTCTGGAACTGGCAAGATTCACACTATAAAATGAACAAAGCTATACCTTTCCGGAACAAAGTACCAATCTTCTGATGCCTTCTTCAAGATCAGAGTGATCATTCTGATCCTTGATTAATCTCTTAAATCTAGTTCCTTGCTTGTCAAAACCTGGGTGACCTTGGACATCATCAAACTCTGAGAGATTTGATTTGCAGTCCTTGTGACGGAGCAAGTTCTTTGGTGCCATTACAATCAGAGGCTTACGGAAGTCCCTGTGTATCTGCAAAATGAGTGACATTAAGACATTGTAAACTGGGTACAACACTTGGTGACATGTAAAAGAAAACCCCAGAAAATAGGTCTTACCTGTCGCCGCAGAACATGGAAATAGTTGGCAGGAGTTGTGGCGTTGACAATCTGCCAATTACATTCTTGAATTTGCTTACGCATTGTTGGTTCCATGTCTGGTATGACATACGGATTATCATCACTCATCTGTAACATAAAATAATTAAAGTCAGGAAGATAATCAAACGAGATTATATATTTTTCACTGATTCAACACCGTAACCCATAAGCTGTAGTAGAATCTAGGACAGAGTTTACCTGAAGGTAACGTTCCAACCTCGCACTTGAATGTTCAGGTCCCTGACCATCGTAACCATGTGGAAGTAGCATAACAAGCCCGGTTTGACGCAGCCATTTGGCTTCTCCACTGCTGATGAACTGATCAAATATCACCTGAGCTCCATTGGCAAAGTCTCCAAACTGAGCTTCCCATAGTACCAACGAATTTGGGCTTTCCATGGAGTAACCCAATTCGAATCCAAGGACACCAAATTCTGAGAGAGAACTGTACACAACAAGCAAAGCTTCTTAGTGAATCTTTACAATGTGAATTCTGGAAAGCAAGGAACAAACACAAGAGACTTCTCTCAAAATATGAGATTGCGTTTAGGAGAAAAAAAAATAAAAATAGGTGAGCTTAGATGGTCAATCTCCATCACACACAGAAAGAACAAAAAAACTCATGTCAGTTTACTCTAATCTGTCAAAACAAGCTAGGAGCACAATAATTCCTAGAGGGAAGGATGGAGGTAAAAGTACCTGTTGCTAACAGTAAACATCTCAGGATCCTGATTCATGATGAGATGATCTAGTGGGCAATACTCTTCTCCAGTTTCCTGGTCATGAAGGACAGAATGACGATGACTAAATGTTCCACGTTCAACATCCTGACCGCTCAACCGAACATGATTGCCTTCCACAACTAATGTAGCGAAAGCAAGAGCTTCTGCAAGAGCCCAGTCAACTCCTTCTCCTGATTCAATCATTTGGGCACGTTGTTCATAAACTTTTTTCACTGCCCTGTGTGGCTTGAAGTTTTCTGGAAGCGATGAAATTGCCTTTCCAACAGTCTTAAGTATCTCTGGTTTGACACTGCAGAAGAGTGTAAAGTTTAGCGGACAATAGACCACACAAAAAAATGAGAAGAAAAGACAAACTCAACTCACCCAGTGTTTCTAACTCGTGAGATCTGCTCAGGAGACTTAAATCCAGCCCAATTGGTTGAAAGCCAATCTCGTTTCTTAGGGAGATAGTCTTTACTAGCGACAAACTCTTCATTGAGGATTGTGTTAACCTTTTCCTGTATCCGGTCGATATCCTGTTGTGATACTTCACCGCATTCCAAGAGCTTTTTGTGGTAGATCTGAAGGGTTGAAGGATGATTCTTGATAACCTGTTCAATTGAAAAACGAGAAGGTAAAGAATTAGAAAACTGCAATAAGTTATAAATCCACAGCAGATACATTTTTGGTAACATAAAATGAAAATAAAGTCACAAACCTTGTACATTTTTGGCTGAGTAAAGGATGGCTCATCTATCTCATTATGCCCGAACCTACGGTAGCAAACCAAATCAACGACTACATCAGAATGAAAAGTTTGACGCCACTCAGCAGCAAGCTCGCAGGCATGAACAACAGCCTCAACATCATCCCCATTGACATGAAAGATGGGAGCGCTCAAAGCCTTGGCGACATCAGTACAATACTGGGAAGATCTCCCCGCCCTTGGATCTGTCGTGAAAGCCACTTGGTTGTTCACCACAATATGTATGGTTCCTCCGGTGGTGTAGTTTGGAAGAGCACTAAGATGAAGAGTTTCGTAAACTACCCCTTGTCCAGCAAAACTACCATCTCCATGAATCAATATACCTAAATTCTTGGTCCTGTCTAAATCATTGGAGTAGTACTGTTTTGCTCTGGTTTTGCCAACAACAACAGAATCTGCAGCTTCCAAGTGACTTGGATTAGCAACCAAAGAGAGATGGATTTTCTTCCCACCTCTTGTAGGTCGATCATAAGAGGTTCCCAAGTGATATTTGACATCACCAGTTCCGGTGTAGCCAACTTCATCTACAGGCCTAATACCACCACTGAACTCACTAAATATCTGACGGAGTGGCTTCCGAACAACATTACCCAGAACATTCAATCTTCCTCTGTGAGACATTCCAATAACAATACTTTCTACTCCGAGGTCTGCTGCCCTGTCAAACATCTCCTTCATGCCAGGGATTAAGGATTCTCCACCCTCAAGTCCAAATCTTTTAGCTGTTGTCCACTTGGTAGCTAAGAAATTCTCAAACTGAGTACTCCATGCTAGCCGATCGAGAATCACCTCGCGGCGCTCTCTGTTGTACTGCCAAGGAGTTGGCGTTTCAATCTTTTCTCTCAACCAATTACATTTATCCCGATCAGCAATGTGCATATACTCGAACCCAATGTTCCCACAGTATGCCTGTTCGAGCCTGGTCAATATGGAGCGAAGGGTCTGCACTGGCCGGTTCTCAGACATGAATCCCGACATCTGCCACACTCCCAAGAAGAACTCTCTGTCAAGATCAGCCTCAGTGAATCCATAAAGAGCCAAGTCAAGATCCTCAGGGATCTCTCGCTGTTCCAAACCTAAAGGATCCAACTTTGCTTTCATGTGACCATTCACCTGGTAAGCCCTCACAAGTAACAAGAGCCTCATACTCTCCTGAATAGTCTGCCCAGAGATGCCGGGAGAAGTGGCAGCCTGACCAACAAAGTTCCTAAAGAAATTATCCCAAGATTCATCTACACTGTTAGGATCAGTTTCCCAAGCCCTTTGTAACTCCTCAAGGTAAACACTGCTCGTCCCATCTAAGAAACTATCAGTTAGCTTAGAAAGCGGTACAGCTCTTGGAATAGGAGCACTCTGAGCCTTCGGTCTGAAAATAGTCGAGTGAAAGGAACGAGTCTGAGAAGGAATAGACCGCGTCCTCGTCGCATATGAACCACCCTGATTCAGAATCCTCCGAACGGCTAGCTTGGTAACATTCGAACCAGCTCGAAACCACACCATTTCACCAGATTCAAAACAATCACTTGAACTTCAATACTTAACAATTAAAAAATCGCATTCAACAAATCGTCGTACTCCACTGAAAAAAAAAAAGAAACAACCAAACACACGTTAATGACGAAGAAACAGACGATTTCTCGAATCATAAACTCAGAAACAAAACGATGAACAAGAGTACGATTTAGAAAAAAAACAATCTACAGATCAATAAGAGCTAAGATTCGACTCCCTAACCTAAATAACAAAATCGAAAAGTCTCAAACACAATCTAAATACGAAATCTACGAATCTGATGAAGATGAAAATAAGATTCGAGAAGCACAAAAGATAGATCTGTTGTTGAAAAAAGAGAAAATGTTGGAGTAAGAAAGATTCATCATCTGCGGTAGAGAAGAAACTGAAATCGGAAAGATGAGTTACCTTACCTACGTGGACCGGAGGCGAAGAAGAGAAGAACGGAGCAAGGAGGAACAAGGAGAGAAAAGGTTTACTTTTAAAAGTTTTTTTTGCCCTTTTTTTTTTTTTTTTGGCTACAATGATGACGCCATTATTGTTATGGAATATGGTTCTATTTATGTAAATATGAAAATATCTTTTTTAGGTCTATATGTTAAGAAAATTAATATACATACTTATGAAGATTTTTCTATGAAAGATTTTGTCAAAGAAATACCATAGTTTGACAAACTTTAGAATGGAAAAAAGAATGTTGTAATGATTTGCTGAATATTTTTTTATACTGGATTTTATTTTAAAAAAATGGATTAACAAGTCAACAGTGTGAATCATCTTCTTACTCTTTCCTCTATTTTTTTCAAAACATATGTGAAAGTAAACAAATTGTTAAAAAAGAAAAAAATATATATCTATATATATGTTTTAATGTTTTGCCCCAACATGTGTGAAACGCCGTTGTCCTTTTGTCTAAGTCCAGTTTTCTCAGTGGTCAAAGTGGCGTTCTTCGTAAGCGTTGGAACATGTATTTTTTCACGTGTTAAGATATCATTGGATGAATTATTTTTTTTTCTTTTATCTTCTTTTTTTTGTAAACTATCTTTTATCTTTTCTTTTTGTAACTCATATCACGGAAACCATTCCTAACCGAATTTGCAAAATGTAAACCGAAGAAAAGTGAATTAAAATTAATTTGACTAGTTTAAAAAGTAAGTACGAAATTTGAACCAAAAGAAGGAAAAAAAAAAAAAAGTAGAAAACTAATTACATTAAGACCCTTTATATGTTTGACTAAATACATTTACATCAAAGAAGAACCCAACCTTTAGTCGTTGTGCATATATAAAGAGGGGTGATTCCAAGTTGGTGGAAGCATTTCCGCATGACTATGGCAGTTGCTACACAAAGTAGGAGACGGCTTTGTCTCCTCTTCTGAACCAAATGACCTTTCAAAAAAGTTCAAGAGAAAGATGAATATATAATGGTGGACTGAGAGTTGATTAAGGTTAATAGAAAAGCAGGAATTCTGCGGGATGCCATTGATAAGCATATTCTCTATGCTCTGCGCCATGAAAAATAGGATGTACAAGTAAGTGAGCAAATTACACAAGATGAGTGAGTACCTTGGCCATATAATCAGCTGATATAACAAAATTGATTAAGATCCAGATCCACTAACAGAGCATGATTTCACCATCTCAGAGGTAGGGAAACTTGCAATAAAGTGCTATTGTTAACAAGGAAAAAAAAAACAAAATCCGGTAAGAATGAATCTACACGACCAAACATCATACAAAAAAAACCCAAACAAACAAACCTTTCCAACAACTTGAGCAACTTCGGACCACAAAACGTTTTGACCGCAAAATTTTCGGTACATAGTTATTCGTTACTGCAAGCAAACAACAATGACTATGAGAGACCAAAAAGGAAAATTTAAAATAGTTTCCATTAAAAGATTGAGCACCATTGAAAATCGCCAATATTTTCCCTTCCTGTTGTCACACGACTCAAGTTATCATTCACGAAACGGGGAAGAAGAAAAAAAGAAAAGAAAACAAAACAAAACTAAGACTTACAGCTGCAACTTCGGTCGCTAGTTCTTCCATGTGTCTTGGTTGCGAAGCAAGAAATTAGGACTCAGAGAAGTGAACGACACAAAATCATAAGCGATTGCGAAAACCTCTTAACGTTGGGGGAAGAGAGTGTTTTAGAGATTTCTCGAGGACGAGGAGGGGTCATGTATTTATAGTCTTTCCAATTTCCTTTTTTCTTTTCCTTCAATATCGGTTCTGATTTTATCCAACCCGGTTATGTCTCTTTTTAATATCCGGTTTTTTTGGTTTACACACAAATTAATCTGAAATTTTTTAACTTTAGTTTCTCGTCGTGGCTTACCGATAAAACCGAACCATGACCTAAACTGAGCTTCAAATTTTGCCAGTCTCTTCTATCTCCGGTGAAGGTCTTCATCATCAATGGCGGCGAGGTTGAACACGTCGCTTCATAACGCCCTCTCTTTGTTAAACCCTTTTAACACTCCCCTCAGTACCAAACCATTCTATTCTAGAAACAGCAGCTTCAGATTTTCCAAAAAGTTTCAATCTTCCTCCGGTAAGAGAGCTCTCTACTGCACTTCCAGCTTCGGAAGTCAGGAAAATGGCGTCGATGGAGCCGAGACATTTGTCCTCACCACTCCTCTTTATTACGTTAATGCCCCTCCTCACATGGGTAGTGCTTACACCACTATAGCCGCCGATTCAATTGCTCGTTTCCAGGTGTGTTTCTCAATCACTCTTCTGACTTTAAAGTTTCAATTTTGTTCTCTAGAAACCCACTGATTAACTTGGCGGGTGTTGCTATTTGTGTAGAGGCTGCTGGGCAAGAAGGTTATCTTTATCACAGGAACAGATGAACATGGTGAGAAGATAGCTACCTCAGCAGCTGCAAATGGGCGCAATCCTGCTGAGCATTGTGATCTCATTTCTCAATCTTATAGAAGTCTTTGGAAAGATCTCGATATAGCTTATGACAAGTTCATCAGAACCACTGATCCTAAGCATGAAGCAATCGTTAAAGAGTTCTACACTCGAGTTTTTGCAAACGGCGATATATACAGAGCTGATTATGAAGGACTTTACTGTGTGAACTGCGAGGAATATAAGGTTTGATTTTGAATTGAGGAAAGATATGTATACTTTATTGTCTGTGTGTGGCACAATTTTTATAGGTTTTGTTTTGTTTTCGAATTCTTTAGGATGAGAAAGAGCTGCTTGAAAACAATTGTTGCCCTATTCACCAAGCGCCATGTGTTGCAAGGAAAGAAGATAACTACTTCTTTGCTTTATCAAAATATCAGAAGCCACTTGAAGAGATTTTGTCCCAGAATCCTCGTTTTGTGCAGCCTTCGTATCGTCTAAATGAGGTTAGATACAAGTTCTCTTCCTTGTAGCATTCAGGTTCTGCTTGTGAACCTTTGGTGGTACAGATTTTTTAGTATAGCTCCTTCTATTTTAATATTTTTCTAATAGGCTCTTTTATAGGTTCAAAGTTGGATAAATAGTGGCTTAAGAGATTTTTCCATTTCTCGAGCATTATTAGACTGGGGAATTCCTGTTCCTGATGATGATAAACAAACCATATATGTTTGGTTTGACGCTCTACTGGGGTATATATCCTTTCTTTTGTCCTTGAGAACTATATATGGTTACTGCTTGATTCTTCATTATGTCTCCACACACTTATGTGTTATAACTTATAGCTTTTGTATCAAACTGTGAGATTTGATTTTATTCTCAATTCTTTCCTCTTTTATTACAGTTACATATCAGCTCTAACAGAGGACAATGAGCAACAAAATCTAGAAACTGCTCTTTCATTAGGCTGGCCTGCCTCATTGCATTTGATCGGAAAGGTTAGCTTAGATACATTATGGACTCTTGTGATATTAATCTGAGTCACCTTCAATATGTGTTTCTAACTGGGATTTGCTGGAAAGAATAACAATCCCAGGATCATTAAATGTAATGAAACAATATAGTTAATGGTTAAGGAGAGAACTGTTTGTTTCTTGTTTATATCTTCTCTGGATGACGGCCAGAAGTACAACCTTCTTTATGCCCTTTATCTGCAGGATATTCTTCGATTTCATGCCGTCTACTGGCCCGCCATGCTAATGTCTGCTGGTCTGAACCTTCCCAAGATGGTGTTTGGCCATGGGTTTCTGACAAAGGTATATAACGGAAAAAAAAACTAGATGTTGCAATTTCCCTCTTCAGTGTTAAATTTGTTGGTCTTGCCAACTTCCTTCATTCATGCTTACATGTACGAGGAATATTGGATTATTTATTTTCTGATATCCCCATGGTTATCAAATTATAGGATGGAATGAAAATGGGAAAATCGTTGGGAAATACTCTAGAACCTTTCGAGTTGGTTCAGAAATTTGGGCCAGATGCCGTCAGGTACTTCTTCCTTCGAGAGGTGGAATTCGGAAATGATGGGGACTATTCAGAAGACCGCTTTATAAAAATTGTCAATGCACATCTCGCCAACACAATAGGTGTTTTTTTTAACTCTACCAAAACTAAGTCTTAAGTAGTCGTTCAGTCTTTTGGTTAATTTCTGAAAAATGTTCAATAATGTATTTCTCTTCAGGAAATCTCCTTAACCGTACTCTTGGACTTCTTAAGAAGAACTGTGAGTCCACTTTAGTGGTAGACTCGACAATTGCAGCTGAAGGGGTTCCGTTGAAAGACACAGTGGAGAAGCTGGTAAAGTTCCACACTGAAAATTTTGACTTCTCTATGCATTTTTCGTCCTTGTTCTCAAATTGTACCATTCTCTGATAAAAGGTTGAAAAGGCTCGGACAAACTATGAAACTCTGTCACTATCATCGGCGTGTGAAGCTATTTTAGAGATTGGAAATGCGGGAAATACCTACATGGATCAACGAGCACCTTGGTTCCTGTTCAAACAAGGTGGTGACTCAGCTGAAGCTGCAGCCAAGGTCTTATCTGCTTTCCCCAACTGTACTATACTTCATATAAAAGAAAAAAGGATTTGTTGCCAATTTGATGGTATCAGGTTAGTGACTGTTTTTGTGGCTATAATTATAGGATTTGGTGATTATACTTGAAGTAATGAGAATTATAGCGGTTGCGCTATCCCCCGTTGCGCCTTGCTTAAGCCTGAGGATATATTCACAGCTTGGCTATTCAGTTGATCAATTCAATAGCATAAGCTGGGTAAGAAATCAATTCCATCACATGATTTTAGTAACAGTTGAACAAAAAAACTTGATGAATTTCGCTTTGATTTAACATGGTTTTATTTTTATAGAATGACACCAAATGGGGAGGGCTAAAGGGGGGACAAGTAATGGAGCAAGCGAGTCCCGTATTTGCAAGGATCGAGCTGAATCCAGAGAAAGAAGAAGAGGAGAAGAAGCCAAAGGTTGGTAAGAAAACCGGAAAAGCCAAGGTCAAGGTAGAGCAAACTCCAACTGTAGCAGAAGCTTGAGCCGACAATATCTACAGAATCTTGATAAACTGATCACAGCATTCCTCTGGTCTCTTTAGTTATAAGAAAATACTGTAAATTTCTTTCAATGTTTTTGTGATGTAAACCTCCAGAAGATCTTGATATAGTTTTTAGATTCAGTAATTTGATCTCCTTTATGGTAAAAGTTTTGAAGACATGAAGTAAAAATTCAATAAAGCAAATTGTAAGAAACGAGTCTGTGTGTTATTTTTAGATGAAAGAATCAGTAAAGATGAAAACGAGAGCCAGTAATAAGGAAACAAGCGACTCGAAAAGCAGAGAAGCAAGAAGAGAGAGCTAAGAAGAGAAAAGCAGCAAAGCCTAGACCAATGGCTACATCCGACTGCAAACAAAAGGCTTTGTTAGCCGTACACGTGTCACCTCCCCTCATAGTTCTAGCCAATGCTGCTGCAGCCGATCCTGCTGATAGCAATAGGTACGAGAACACCTGCCCCATCCCAAACAATTTGAACTTCAACTTACATATATACATAACACATTAATTAATAATTTGAGGACTAAATTAAGGGGGATCAGCTTTTAAACAATAAAATAAGTAACGCAATTAGAAAATTAGAAGCAATCATTGAGAACATGTTTCCTTTAATGACGACTATGTAAAATGTATTATTAAAATAGAGTAGAATAGAATTGAGTGATACCTGGTCATGACCAAAATCGAACCAGACCTGGAAAGCTTCAGGCCATAAGGTGGTTTCTCTTGAGAATTCCCAAACGCAGCTTCCCATTTCAAACACCGAATATAACGCCACGATCGCGTTTGCTACAAACACGAATCTGCAAAATTAAAAAAAAAAAAAACACGATTCTGATCTCAATTCGAGAGATTCGCTAATGATTTTGGAATTGGGAGATGAGAAAGAAGGTTGGAGAGAGAGACGAACCTGAAAGCGTCGAAGTCGTACCAGTGAGGGGAACCGGAGCCGCGAGAATTGGTGAGCATAAAGACGGCGGAGGCGAGGGAGAAGGAGAAAGAAGCGAGGCGGAGGAGGAGGATTAAGGAGTTGAATCGCCGGAGTTTCTGAGCTGTGACGGTTGAGTGGAAGTGAGTTCGGTCACGCGAAGTCGGAGATTCGCCGTTACGGAAAGCATGCGGCGAGCGCATGGCGGAGATGAAGATCGGAGCCCGGAAGGAGATAGAAATTGTACAGAGTTAACGGTGGTGATGGTGAAGTAGGAGAAGAAGAAGAAGGAGACTCATGAGAAGTGCGGCGGGTTTTTTAAAGTGCTTTGGTTGCAGTCACGAGGCAATGAAGAAGAGAGAGAGAGAGATAAGAAAGAAGAAGAATGAGAGGGAAAGTGATGCGAAAAAGAGCTAAAAACTTCAGGGTAAGAGAGAGAGAGAGATAGTTTGATAACCGGACTGGTTTAATGTTTCTGTTTTGGATTATTTTGATTTAGGCTCGTGGTTTGGTTGGTTACCAATGGTCATAGCGGGTGATGCGTGAGGAAAACATCCAAGATTTCACGTAATTTGATTATTCTTTGTGGAATAATTTCTTATTTTTTGTGTTTTGACATCATTCTAAAACTTGTCAACAAATGTATTTAAATAGCATTTGATTTGTTTTCTCCAAAAAAGAAAAAAATAGCATTTGATTTGTGATCAATTTAAAAATAATTAAAACAATATAAAATCACGAAGAAACGGTCGGAACATTAATGCAAATGAGCTATTTTACGTAGAGTCGTCAGAGAGATTCGACCAAACGAAAGTGCACTCGGAAATTAAAGATTTTGAAACCCGGTTTTCGTATATATTAGCACTCGGCATTTCTGACTTATCATCATTATTTTAATTTTATTTTGATAAACAAGAATCCAATATTTGTGTATTATTATCTTTATGTTTCTTTTTTTATTTAAATAGGATTAGGTATACAAAAGGCAAATAAAACCAAACTCTTTTGTTTCTTTTGGTCTCTCTTTAAATGTTTTGTATAACACAACTGTTATTATGGGCAATTAATGCCGGAGTTGTTGTTAAAAGAAAGTGTGAAAATGACGTTCGAGCCATTCATCCCTACAGTACTCTACACTACTAGGACGCTCCTTTTCACGAGAAATTAACGACGATTAACTAAACCAAAACTAATATTTTAACACTAAAATGAACTCGCCGGCTTAGACCGCAATGTTCAAGGACATCAAGGTGGTTCGAGTTCAAGTTCAAGTTAGGGTTCTGTTTCTTTTAACCGCGGCTGCATCAGTGCAAACCTCCATCAACTACAGTTTTGGTTGCGCACTCAGTCCTGAAACGAAACAAACAAGTGTGTTATCTACAGCTACATGTTTTTCTAGATTGAAGACTTGTATTCGATTTGTGATTTTATTCGGTTTAACCATTTTTGTATCAGTGGACGTGAGGATTGCAAAATAAAATTTAGTGAATTTTAAGTAGTTGATCAACATTGAAATATTCTTTTTCGAATTCCACACTTGTCACCTTTTTGCAGAGTTGAAACAGAACTACCCCAAGTTAATTTTTTCAGAATAAAGTTAAAAGCCTAAGATCAAATGAACAATTAAAAGGGGAATGTGAAAAAATCCATTAACGATTGTTATGATATAATCCTAAAATATGGAGTGGATTGATTCCACCACAATATTCCAAACCTTAAAGACGACCCAAAACCAAAAGAAAATAAAATGAATTAAGAAAAAGAGGAGCTTTTGAGTTTTGAGACAGTCAGATTTCATCTGCTGCTTGCTTCAACATGGTTCTGCTTGCGCTCTCTCATAAAGATTAGAATAGAAATTTCTACAACACGAACATTGCAGGAGACATGTTCATAGCATCTCTTGAGATCTTCTGACGCAGCGACTCACTTTCTTCCTAAACTCTGCTCTGTTGTCTCTCCATTCCTTAGCAGCTTCCACATTCGCTGGTGACTCATCGTTGGGACCCGAGAGCATCGATATGATACTCAGCACAATGCTTTCTACCTGCATCATACACACCCAACATTAGCTTCCAATGTATATATCTCTTTTCTTTTCTCATATGATATAATAAGAGAACGCTCCAACACCAACACTATCGATTAAGAGGTACAGAACAGATAAGCTACGTAATTCTCATTCCACTTAAGCACACTTATTAAAGAAGTTCAATCCGAGTTGCCCTATCCTCTAGAGTATTCGTAACTCCTGACTTAGGAATTCCAAGAGCATTTGAAAACCAGTCTCAAATGCAGACTATAAGCTCAATATCAAACAAAACCAGTATTCGAAGACCCCAAGAAATTCAAACCCATACATAACTCAACCCTGCAAAACAAATTACAAGTGTACATAGGCTAAGCGGTGAAAGAAAAAGATGAATGAAACACATACCGTATGGACAGGGGTCCAACGTTCTGAGGCAAGCTCATACCCATTAGGATCATCACCAGGAGGATGAAGAATAGAAATGCAAACTTTCCCATCAGAATAAACTGCAGACAAAAAGAACACAAATCATCAGAAGACTTAAATCTAGAAACTCAAGAAAAAGGGAGAAAGTAATTTCCAGAACAATCACATACCATTAGGATGCCACATCTCTGAGGTGAACGTCACAGTTGGTGGACTAACTGGATAGTTATCTGGGAACGTCATAATTGCATTAAAGAAACCACCTTCACTGCAATCAGAAAGAAAAAGTTTCAATGCAATGTAATTTGGTACCATAACAGTTCATAAATAAACTAAATATATAGTCTCTAAGCTGACATCTATCAAGAACAGACGAGGAAAACAAGTCACTCCTGTAATCCTCTAACAAACATAACATAAGTGAAGCAAACTAGCACAACAGAAGCAAGCAAATGAATCAGCTTAGCCAATGCAAAACAAAGATAGATGTAACCAAACTACACAGCTTGATCAAAACGAAACAACCAAATCAAATGCACAATTCCAAAAGAACCGAAAAGAAACACACCAACTCACTAGCTATATAACAAAACAGAGACAGGAGACAATAGAAGGAAGAAAAAGACTTACTACAAAGTATCAGGCGGACCCATAATTGAGACGCTCCATTGGAAAACGTTCTTCTCATCGACGAGGCCAGCTGAGAAACCATCGACAGGCTTCTTACACAGATCTGAAAAGAAACCAACGAAATCAGCCAAACCCAGAAACGAAATTCACCGCAATACTCGAAATCAAAAACCAATCGAGAGAAAAAATCAAATCGGAAAGGTTAAACCAAAAACCCTAGAAGGGATCGAGCGGGAAAGAGGAAAAAGAAGAGAAACCTTTGAGTTGTTTCTGAAGAAGAAGGCTCGCTTGATTCGTTGCCATCGCCGCAAGCCACAGGTCGAGAGAGAGAGAGAGAGAAGGAGCTAGATTCGGGGGAAGACGAAGATGAGTGATTCTGTAGAGATATAGAGAGAGATACAAACCGTCTCCAATATATTCTTTTTTTTTTTTACCACTTTTAGGGTTGTTTTTTATTTTATTTTACATATAAATGGTGCGGTAATATAGAAAATTTATCTTTCTTGTGATTTTTTAAGGTTAAAAAATTGGAATAATGTTTGTTCATGAAAATTGGAATATCTTATCAATGTAAAGATTTTTTGAAAGAAAAAAAATCTCCAAACAATTTATTTTTGATTGCACGGTTAAATATATGTTTTACTTTAAACAATAAAGAAGCCAATATTTTTACCGAGTTGCTCAAATGCAGGATTGAGCCAATTTTGAAAAGCCGAAAGCCTCGATAAAGATCAGGACGTAGATGGACCGACGTATGAGGCTCGACCAAATTGGAGTTTGTTTAGAGTAGCTATAAGACTGTAAAAGAGATAAAAGCGAGCGAGGTCGAGACACATACATACAACTCCTAAGCGATTTGAGCCGGTGACTGAGACCTGAGACGGTGACGGTGAGGTGATGTGACGTGACGAAACGAGCCGACGAAAAAGAAAGAATATAATCTTCGTCGGTGGTACGTATTCCGATGGTCTTAACCAGAATTGAACCGAACAATTTAAATACTTGTGGGTTTTTTTTCGGGCCCAAAATAGCCGGTCTATTGGGTTACAATTTGTTACAAGTCCATACAACTTAGACCCAAGTAAAGAAAGACTTACACATAAGCCCATATTTACATACTTGGTTTCTTATATACGATGCCATTTCAGGATTAGACCATAAAGGTCATAAACTCGTATGCACGATTAGGGCATAACTGAGGGTAAAAAATCAATATTATATGGGTCTCTATAATTATACCAATAACGAAGATAAATGATACTTACGGTAGCGTTACATGATACTCTATAGTTTTATTTTTAGATTATGAAAATATTCATCTTTAATTTATTTTCATCTTTAATTCATCTTTAAAGGAAAAAAGAAAACAAATTTAGCTACTTTGTTTAGACAAAATAAAATCTTTTGATTCTGAATCCTAATCATTTAATTCATCTTTTATAAATCTAGTGTACGTACCATAAGATGTCTATGCTATATATTCTCAGATATATATGTTTTATAAGAAAAGGATTCTTTGACGAAAAACACCTTTAACTTTATATAATTTTCTCTTGTGCTTTTCTTCTTTTTCATCGATCATCTGCAGTAGTAGTAAAGTAACTGATGTAACGTACAACCACAACAAAATGGGCTGATTAATTTGTATAATACATTTTTTACGAAGAGTTTGAGATTTTTGCTTTTGATCAATGATCATCAAGTGTTTTTCATGACACACGCATGAGTCTTTCCATTCAGATCATCTCATAACCTTTACGTTACATGTCGATATCTTTTTTTTTTTGTTTTTATACATGTCGATATCTTAACACACGCACATCCATTAGATATATTTCACTAGATTCATATAAGATAATGTTCCAACATCAGAACTAATTATCCATATCTCATATACCTCATTTGTAAAGAGAATTGATATCCTTGATCTATCGAGTTTGAGACTTGTTTTCTTATATATGTTTCCATTGGTAATGGTGCATAAAATGTTTTGATCCCACAAGACATATATGTTTTCTGAAGATCCCCACTATGTAAAATAGAGATGAGATAATATATGTATATTTTAGCTAGAAATTTTCATGGATGCAAATTAACAAATATCAAAGATCTAACATATCTACGATTCCTTTTCTTTAAAAAGATTACTATTGTATCAGGAAAAGATCATGGAGAAAAAGCGCGTGGCCATACACCTTTTTCTATAATATGGGAATGTGTTTGCTACTCAAACGTTTACACAATTAAACAATTTAAAGCTAGAGGTTGTTATATGTCTTATTACCAACAAAATTTTTTTTTAAAGAAAACAGAATATTTTTTTCGTCACGGAAAAGAGCAAAGAAGACGAGAAAAGAAAGGTGCACCGTTGTCGCTTTGCTGCTTGAAAAAAAAGAAAGTTAGAAATCAAAGCTTTTGATGATATATAATTGCTTACGAATATGTTATCTATGATTGATCTACGTGCATTGTATTAGTGTGTGTCAGTCAAACTTCATTATTTATAAAAAGTCCGAGTGGGAGAGAGGCAAGACAGTTTGGCAAAAAAAAAAAAAACAAAAACATCAACATCGCTCGCAGACATATTATTCCCCGAGCAGCTAAGATAGCATGGAGTTAACCAGACTTGCGTCTATCGCAATAAGCAAGATACTAGAACGAGAGAGGGGTTTTAACATATATTTTCGTTCTCTTTCTTTAATAATTTATGTCTTCTTAAGCTTGTACGCAAGAACTTAACTTGCCAATTTATATGATACGCCGGGTTGTAGTCTTCTTTTTCTTAAGTACAACACTTGAAATTTATTTAATAAAATTTTGTTGGTTGGAATTGAATTGTTTAGGACCCCTACGTGGTGAATACTAAAAGTTAAAAGCTTATTTTGGTACCAGTGGCATATTAATGACAAGTTTTTCTAAACCGCTGACGACCGTAACATTTGTCATTGCGTAAGGTAATTAGCATGATATGCCTGAATGGAAATATATTCTATCATCACACGTTAATGTATACACTTGTTATATTATAGTTCTTTACAATTAACCGATCCAAGTAGGTGTATGGAATGGAAGATAAAAAAAAAAAGTAGAGATCGTTGTGTGGTCAAGGAAATTACAACCATTGGTCAAGAAAGTAAATTGAAGAGCGTGATTATTTTTGTAAGTTGTAAAACAATCGATTTACCAATCTAATATATAGTTTTTCTTGGTTGTCGTATTTTCGAACGAAGCGTTCGCAAAGGTCACTGCGTGTCTGATGGTCGTGGGACTTATTAAGATTTGTGTTTGACGCTTCTCTCGAAAAAGCGCATACGGTGCAGTGGCTTTGACCAGGGTTCGACTCCCTGAGCGCACATATAATTTTCTGTCATTTTCTTCATATATATGTAAAGATTCTTTATTATTGAGGCTCTCTAAAACAAATTTTAACTCAAAAATCTGTTACAAAATGACTTTTAAATAAGAGATTTTAAAATTTGTTTAAGAGACTTTCAATAATGATCTTCTAATAAGTATTTTACACAAAAAGAGAAGCAGAATCTGTGTTTAATGACGTGACAGCTCATTATGAAATGTCCTACTGTCTAGTAATTGTCTTGGCCAAACTTCAGTGCAAAAATGAAACAAGACGTAACCATTACAACTCCACCCACTCTTCTCTTCACATATATTATATCATGGTCTTAGAAACAAAATATTCTCCAAAAAATGTTCCATAATTTTGAGAATAGGTATGTTTTTACCAAAATTTAACAAAATACTATATATTTGTTTAATTAACATTTTGAGAATGTTTCCATTTTGTATAAAGATAGCTAATTGTAGTTTGACATAATTTACTTCTCCAATATCTTTCTGTTATATATATATATATATATATATATATATATATATTCTTAAGTAAACTTAGTTTACTTGTTATCTTATTGGTC